TTCAAGTTAATTTCTAACTTACAGTGAGCCAAACTCCTTTTAAATACATCCTCAGTTCCAAAAAAAATGCTGGGACGCTTTGAAAAGTATTTTAACCTGCATTTGTGGATGCTGTGATGAGCTGTGTTCGCAGACAGTGTTTTTTTGGAAGTGATTTGGATACCATGCAGTGATTTCCACTACGGAGTCCTGTCTGTTTTTAATGCAGTGCAGCCCGAGGACCTGAAGATCAGGGCCATCCAGTGTTGGTTTTGGTCCTTGTCCATCTTGTACAGATTTCTCCAGACTCTCTGAACCTTTAATGGTTTTATGTTCTGTACTTGCTTCCCTCTGACAGGTTGCGTAATCTTATTTTAAGATTTTTGTCAAAGCCTATTATTTTAATTGCAGACAATTTTTTCCCACAAACTGAGAAAATCATTATTTTTTAAGTATTATTCCCCTCATTTTACTGCCCCCTTTTCTTCTGTTATTTCAGCTGGTTTGGATGCAACCTGAGCTGCAGCTTTAGCACTAGTTAAAGGTCCAAAATGCTAACCAGGCAGTTGCACACCTCTAAGATTACCATGCAGATTTAACAAACAGTGGTGGCAGAGTTCATCTCCACAATGATCCTAATCCTGCATGTCAACAGCTGTCACATTATGACAACATTACTTCTCCGTATTTCCCTCCATTTAGAGAAAATCGCTGCAGAGAGAGGAAAGTTTTTACAAGATGTCAGAAAGCTGCTTTAACAGCAGTTTGTCATCTCCCTGTATCCCCCGCTCTCCCCTCTCCTCACCCCTCCCTCCCATCCCTGCATATGGGATTCACATTTGGCTTGAGCGAGCATTTTCTTAATGTGATATTATGATACATTATCTGAAGCCATCCACTGCCTGTCACCACCTCTCATGTGGACTGGATCTGAGCGGGGCCAGAGGAGAGGCGGTCACATTGTGTCCAGGTGAGTTATGAGCATTTAACTCGACACTGTTCGCAGCGGGGATCGTTTACAGCGCCTGAAAGTGTAATCAAAATACAAACTGTGCTCATGTGAAGGCTCTCGCTCTCTCTCTCTCTCTCTCTCTCTCTCTCTCTCTGCAGGAGCCTGTTGGTGCTGGATACGTTTTCACCCTCTCCTGCTGCCGGCCGTAAATCGCCTCTGTCGAAGGTGTGTGTGCGTGCGTGTGTGTGTGAATGTGTGTGCGTGCGTGAGGGAACAGAAGGTGAGAAATTTGGGGGTCAGCCGAGGTCTTTCAGGTAATTGTGCTTCTTAAACTTTTGACCCACTAAGCCGTACTTAGTGTGGTGCTGCTCGCTCCCCTTATTTCCCCTGAGAGTTTGGACTCTGCATACCAGGACCTGTGTGTGTGTGTGTGTGTGTGTGTGTGTGTGTGAACAGTGTGTGTGAACATATGCTCACACAGATCATGTTATTCTTTTTCACCTATTTTGGCGTAGAGCTGACTGTTATTCCCACACAGTCTGACCGCCCTGCTCCTTTTCAATCCATCAATGAGAAATACATGAGTTTGTCATGTTGGACCCTAACTCCTCTCCTCTCTCCTCTCCTTCTGAGTGAAACATGTTGAAAGAATGCATCCTCAGTCCTCACACACTAAACTATATGACTTATTCGTCTCCTGATCCTCTCCACACCCAAACGAGGGGATGAAACTGTCACCATCAGCGTCAGTTTTTGTATCATAATGCTTAATGTAGTCAATTTATGGGGGGATCCTGCTTTCCTTTTTGAACCCTGAACTTTGTTTTACGTGTTTTGGAGAAAAAGATTCAAAAAGTTTTGGAATTGATCTCAAGGTTCCTACACAGTTGGAATTCTCATACTTGTCCATACCCTACTTTTTAGAATTGTTTTGGGAAATACCTACTTTTCTGTTTTAGAAAACAGTATTTGTTTTAACTGTGGTAATAGTCTGGAAACCTAGATATTTTTCCATACTTTATTTTTCATTTACCACACTTTTTTAGACCTGGAAAATGATGAAAGTACTTCCATACTTTTCAATACTTTCCATTCTTGCATAGGAACCCTGAGTTCAAATCTGTCACAAACTTCTTCACACTGTAACTTGCAAACACAACAACTAAAAAAGCAGGGGTAACCAAACACTTCACAACAACACAGTTCACAAGAGACATGTGGGTAGAGACATGCACCAAACCACATCAGGACCCAACCGGAGCCTCTGTTTACAGGGCACCTACTTTACCAACTGAGCCAAACTTGTGCCCTGTTTTCTCCTAATCAGAATTGTTGAGATGAAGCGATAGTTATATAGCGATAGTTATTTTGTGTTTGATTTTCTAATGAGTTGTGGTGTTTGGAGTCCCTCTTTTCTCTGAAACATATCTGCATATTGCTGATCTTTGTCAGAGACTGTGTAGTTTTGCTATACTACGTCTTTCTCTCATTTTTAATCATTATGGTTTGTTTGTCCAGCAGGGGGCTTCTTCTGCACATAGGAAACTTATCAGAATCTGCACTGAGCAGTAATAGCTTTCCAGATTTACATCTATCTGAGGATTAAGATAGGACATAACAGAAAACAAATGAACATCAACTTCTGACACCCCTGCATCACATGCTATTTCCAGGTGTGTCAATGTCCTTAAAACAGGGCTTATATCTGCAGATACTGAAATGCACTTCTACAAAATAGTTGTTTTTATTATAGGAGTCTGGTAGGTTAAAGACACAATTAAACAAAGGGTTGTACATTGCTGAACATAGGGTTAGTGGTCTACTTCTGCAGTGATTGGCAAGTTTGTTTTTATAATTGTGTTGAATACCGACTTTACCTATGAAATACTAAAACACACAATAACAGAACAAAACTAACTGAGAGAGGCTTTTTTTCAGGGAGCTGCGAAGAGCAAAAACAAGAACTTCAGGCTGACACATTTTGATTATCCTGGGTTAGATTACAGTTATTACAGTCTGATTCAACCCTCCACTTATGCAAAGGAAAGGCTACAGTTAAGAGAGAGAGGTGTGTTCACTTTAAACACAAACCTGTCCAGAGAACAGTGAGAGCAGAGCGACTGATGTAATACGGTGCAATAATCTGCAGACGTGTTCAAAGCCTCTGTGATGCTATGATTGCTTTTGTCTCATATTAACAGTGATGCGTCTGACTTTATTAACCCTCATTCATCACAGTCTGACTCTTTTATCATTTCACTGTGTCGGTCTTTATATGACAACAGTGGATGTTACAGTTTTGAATTGACTCTATTGAGTTTGTTTTCTCCTTTTCCAAACATACAGGACAAGAACAAAAGTGTTTTTTTATGAAGATGAGGAGGAAAGTAAATCCCTGGAGTGGCTGAAACTAAAAACACTGGATTGTATCCATGTCTTAAAAAGTGAGTGGAAAACTCCTTTACCTTTAGAGTTTGAGACATAACCTTGTCTTTTAATTATGAATTTAAATATTTATTGAATTTTCAAAAGAAAATTTGACATATTTTATTTTGCTTTCCTTCAGTATGTTCAAAAATCTACGGACAACTCCATTTCCAAAACAGTTGGGATGTAGTGTTCGATGTCACTAAAAACAGATTCTGATAGTTTGTAAGTGATTCGTACTCTCGTGTTATTTGGTAATAGTGCATAGACAACAATATCAAAACACTGAAACTAAAAAATGTCCTGAAAACTATATGCACATTTTAAATTTAATTTCAGCAACACATTTTTAAGAAGTAGTTACAGCGTCATGTCACCAGCTCCTTAGTGAACCCAGCAGACAAGTTTCTGGAGTTTGAAATGAAAATGTTGTCCCATTTCTTGATAGAGGAATCCAGCTGCTCAACAGTTCAGGTCTTCTTTGTCCTGTTTTTGTGTCATGATGCTCCAAATATTTTCAATTGGTAACAAGTCAGGACTGCAGGCAGGTCCAGTTTAGCAGCAGGACTCTTCTACTACAGAGTTGTCATACCTGCAGAATGTGGTTTGTCTTTCTGAAATATGAAGGTCTTCCCTGATTGTCTGGATGCCAGCATGTGTTGCCCTGAAACCTGAATTTACAGTTCAGCATTAATGGAGCCTTCACAGGTGTGGAAGCTACCCATGACATAGACACTGATGATCCCCATACCATCAGGGAGGCTGACTTTGAACTGTGAGCTGATAACAAGCTGGGTGGTCCCTCTACTGTTTGCATGGTTCAGTTTGAACTTGCATTTGTGGATGCAGTGATGATTGTGTTCACAGACGGTGGTTTTTGGAGGTGATTCTGAGCCCATGCGGTGATTTCAACTGCAGAGTCCTGTCTATTTTTTAATGCAGTGTTGTCTGAGGGCCTGAAGATCAGTGACCATCCAGTATTGGTCTTGGTCCTTGTCCCTTTTGTACAGAGATTCCTCCAGACTCTCTGACTCTTTTAATGGTATTATGAACTGTAGATGATGAAACCCACTCATTCTTTGACATTTTACACTCAGGAACTTTATTCTGAAATCCGTAATCTCTCACAGAGTTGTGAACCTCACCCAAGTTTTCAGATTCAACAGTCTGTATGTTATTTTTACAGTATTTTCAATTGAATACAGCCTTTGAAATGATCCTTAGCTCCTATGTAATCAAGTCTGTGTCTTTCCCTGCAGATGTTCCAGGATGAAAACCTCTGCTTTTTTAACTCCACTTCCAACACAGATGTCCCCATTAAGAGTAAAGACTGCTGTGGTGAGTTATTTAACCTCCTCTCCTCCTCCTTCCCCCTCACCCTCCCAGCCCCTGAAGTCATTGTAGAAAGCGCGTGAAGAAGAGGGCCATGGGGGGCCAGTTGTTTTTAAATAAACTGAATCTGCTAACACTTTTATAACCCTGACCTCGTAAAAGCTGCAGCAGCTTTTGGTCTGCTTGCTCCTGATGGGCCGAGCAGAGTCCATCCCAGGCTGGAATCCCCATTTGCCGCTGAGGAGCGTGTCGGTGCGTCAGCTGGTGTGTGTCACAGAGAGGAAAAGAGAGAGAGAGAGAGAGAGAGAAAGGGCGTGTGATATATGACTGCTGTGTCACGATCCACATGTGACGAGCGTCCTCACAGGCAGAGCATCCAGCCTGCTCCCTCTCTCTCTCTCTCTCTCTCTCTGCTGTAAGAGGAAAAGAGTCACTGAACAGAGGGAGGGAGACACAGAGGGAGGAGAAAGAGAGCTCAGACAGTCAGAGGAGAGAAAGAGAGAGGAGGAGAGGAGAGGTGGAAGCAGGAGGAGAGAAGACCTCTGTGGGAAACAAGAGTTGAACAACAAACCCAGGGTTGCGTGCAGGATCTCAGACTCTCTGTGGATACGTCTGCTGTCGGTCTGCTGCTGAAGGTAAGAGCACGAGCCTGCACACCTACATCTACACAAAGACTCCTCTCTGTCTTTTTCATCCTCTGGCTCCTTTTACACACACACACACACACACACACACACACACACAAAAAGATGCATAACCGGTAGATTTGATATGGTTTTGCATGTTTTTGTAGCATTTTAAGCTGAATCAGAATTAAAATTTATTGCAAGGAAGGTTTACACATACCTTAAATTTGTCCCTGAGTAGATATTGGACTTAATCTTAACGTAGCAGAAATCGAACCCAAGTTTTGCAGAGCCGTTGATGTGAAGATGCACAAACAGAGACAGGAAGCGCTCATGATTGTTGCCTCAGCTGGACGCCACAAAAGGAGGGCTGAAAATTAAACCTCATCAAGCGCTGGCCACTTAAAGTTCTTTGTTTATGCCTCTGACACGCTCAGATTTACAATTTAAGTGTCTGAAATTACAGAGAGGATTCCTGAACAGACAATTAGAGGATGATTTTCATCCAAACAAGGAACGCTCTAAATTCACTGCAGGGATCGATCAAGTTCTTCGTCTTCTTCTTCAAATTCACTCGGAAAAAAAAATGAATTTTCAATTAAAATTTAAATCAAACATTTTTTTGTATGAAGTACGTTTAAAATAACTTGCAATGGCTGAAAAGTAGGCACAATAGCATTAAACAAAATTAAACAATAATCTGCATGGTGTGGAAGATATAAAAAATGGAATTAATGAATAGAAAGAAAAATAGGGGAAAAACGAAAATCCTGAGAAAACAGGTGTGTCTTCAGTCTAGACTTCAAAACGTCTGTAAAGGGCGGATATTCGATTGTATAAACACAGACTATTGCAGAACAATTTTACCTTGAGGAAGACGCTCGTTGCTCGCATACCCCGGTGTAAATCTGTGAGCGCTTTTGCGCAACACTGACTCGATTTCGCAGGAAAGAGTTGCATGTCTGCTCAGTTTGTTTGTTTTTGGCTGATTATGTTTGATCAGCTTTCAACGCAGACATGTGCTGAAAACAAGGACGAAAAGCTTGACGAAGACGTTTAAGCATTAAAATATCATCTAATGATAAGCAGATATGAACTGAGAGCGTTGAATACTGTTGTATGCACATTTAATTTTTACGTTGAATCGAGAATGAAGATTATAAAAACAGCAGAAGCAAAAATAAACGGCAAAACCAATAATGTGAAAAAGTAATTAAATGGAATAATAAAATATAAAATAATGTTAAATTTAATCTCAAAACTGTATTTCTTTTGACTTTACTGCAGGCATATATTTCCTTATCAGTGTAAAAAAGTGAAAAGAACCTCAAAGTATAAATTACATACAATTAAATTGTTGTAAAAGATATATTTGTGTAGAAAAGTTTTTTAATTGGAGTTCGCATGAATCTGCAGAATAAAATAGAGACAGTACGGAGTGCAAACCCACAATAAATCAGTGTGATTTAATCTAAAGACAAAAGCTCAGATAAAGGGGGGAATTAAAGTTAAAGTAAGAGGCGACTTTTCCTCTTTCGCTCTCCTTCTCCTCTTCTTCTGCACATCTCAAATCTCAGGTGCGCATTCCTCTTTTATTGCAGGTATTTTGCGCGTCCAGAAACAGCAAGTGGTCATGATTAGGAAGCGGTGTGACATGATGTGTAATAGGAGGAAACATGTTTGTGTTGGCGCCGGTGGATTTGCTAATCAGGCACTGACAGCGAGATGGGAGGACGGAGGAACTCACACAGCTTATAGACGGAGAGAGAGGGAGAGTTTGTGTGTGTGTGCGTGTGTGTGTATGTGCGTGCATGTGTGTGAGCCGGAGCATGAGGTTAATCGCAGGGTGAATAACCTCACAGATTGTATGGATATGTGTTTTACAGGTGCGTGCGTTTCTGTCTGTGAGTGTTTGATTGACTTGGCCCGCTCTGTTGGACCCTGAGGCTGCTGGCTTATGCTAGAAGGAGATGATGACAGATCTAACAGACTCTGTGGTAGGTAGGAAGAGGAGGAGGAGGAGGAGGAGGAGGAGGAGACCAGCTACCACTTCTATAGAGCTGAGAAGGAGAGGCGAGCGTGTGAGAACGAGACACAGAGAAGGTGTTTAAATGAAAAATGAAGTGAGGGAGGATAATAAGACGGGGGAAGAAGAGGAGAAGAAGAAGTCAGAGTAGGAGGAAGAACATCTGAGAAAGAAAGAGGCAAGAACAGAGGGTGCCAGAGAAGACAAGGAGGAGAGAGGAAACAGAATGAAACTGAGATGTGTGAGAGGCAGAGGTGGGAAGTGGACAAATGCTGTGTTAGGATACTTAAAGAGAGTTTTCAGGTTCGATCAAACCTCAGCATCTTCATTTCTAAGGATATTATAATGTTTACCCCACAGTTTAAACATGAACATCCACACAGTTTAGAGTAAAGACGGGGTACGGTTTATGGATCCTTCAAAGACTAAATTCACTCATTCAAAGAATTTAGTGACTGAGCCAGGAGGTTAGAAATGACATAAAGCAAAATCAGACTTAAACCTGAACACACAACTTACACACCTTTATCTCGTAGAGAAATCAGACTCCATAACAATGTGCAGACATTTTAAAAACACACGTCTTCTTTCTATCGAAGCCCATCTCCACCAGCATAAATGAAAAACAATGGTGGCTTGGCCCTTTAGAAAGAAAATAAACACTGAATAAGAAGGTCATAATTTTAAAAAGTAGTATTCATAGTTATGAGATTTAAAAAAATTAAAGATAATAAGAAAATTAAAGATATGAGATTAAAAGAGTCATAAATATAAGAAAAAGTCATTATATGATAAAGAAGTCATTACTATAAGGTAAAAAGTCAAAATTGGTGTAGTAAGTCATGATAAAAAAAAAGTCATGCTAATATTAAAGCCCAAAAAATTAAAAATCAAAATTATGAGATTAAAAAGTCATAATTATAAGATAGGAAGTTAATATCATGTGATAAAAAGTTAAAATGAAAAGAAAGTCAATCATTTTTATTTGATAAAAAGTCATAATTTCTGGGTAATAAAGTCTTGAGATTGGAAGTCAGAATTTTGAAATAGAAGCTGTGATTACAAAACAGCAAGTCAAATTATGAGATTAGATAATTGTCATAGAAGAAGTTAAAATTATGACATCCCAAGTTACGAGATAAAAAGTCAAACTCTCAAAAAGACAGTCTGCTCTTTTTTTAATATTATTCTGATGTATCTCCTTATTTTGTGATTTAATTCCACAGTTGTTACCTTTTCTCACAGCTTTGATTCATATCTTTTTTCCTGAAGGTCAGTCCATTTTGTTTTTGTCAGGTATGGGCTTCCATACATGCATGTCAGACCATTTCTATCAAGTTTCAGGATCCTTGACCCTGCAGTTTTTCTGAGTTGTTATTCACTCGTGTCCTTCGCAGTGTGACGTTTCCATGTCAGACTCGTGTCAGGAGGCAGGACGTGACATAGAAAGGACACTGTGGTTTTCTCTCTGTTACATTCACAGCATGTCACGAGTGCCAAAGAGGTAGAGTGTGACTCTTTTACGACAGCTTTTGTTTCGATATCAGCGCTATACCTGGGTTTGGACGTATTCATGGCATCAATTTATGATCGGGGTTCTCAGGGATCCTAGAAAACCTGAAAAACAGTCGATCAGTTTTCCAGTCATGGGAAAATGAGAGGAAAAGTAAAATGATGTGGAAAACCTTTGTGCTTTCCTGGAAAATTATTCAAACATTCTCCTAATTTCATATCAGAGTTCACATAAACAGATGACATCTTCAGGTGACTGAACTGTTGTTGGCTTTTGACAGGACACAGGGATGCTCTTTGGTTATCTGATTTGTGGCCTTTCTTTGCGGTCGTGGAGACTGAATAACTCGGTTGCCTTTATGATTGTTTTTTTAGTGGCGTAGACTGTTTCGTTTTGATATCTTGGCATACGTTTTCATTGTGCTCCTCCTGAGCTTCGCAGTCTTGTCCAAATGTGGTCACCTCTGGCTGCAAAAATGATCAATGCAGCAAAAAAAAGAAAGACATGCAGCCTCACATGGGGTGCATGCTTTACCGGCAAAGGCCTGGCATACACACCATTCTTAAAAAGTGAACTTTTATGACGCACAACCTCAGCTCATGAGTCATGCGCTCGCACTGTACAGTCCGACTTGACCTGAGTGCTTACGCAGCATGAGTCAAATTGCAAAGAAGCATTTTTCTGTGATTCTTTGGAAAATTCCCACACAAAAGCTGAAGTCAAAGAATATGACTTTAGCAACAATTAGAAGGTTGAATCATCACATTTACAAACTCTCTTAGACTCATACAAAGCTCTCCATCGCACATGTGGAGTCCATGTGTATTTGCAGCCCACGGAAACAGACACACGGTCAAACTCAACCACTGCAGCAGGATCATTTTATAAATAGATGTTTACGGCCTACGTTTGTTTGATGTTAAACACAGTCTAATCACGTGCAGCCCTGTCAGTGAGTTTTGAATAAATAATGAAGTTATGTTGATATGCCAGGTGTTTAAACACAGTATCCCTTATAGAATTCAAAGTCACTGATCATTTATTCACTGAATTGCAGCATTGCTTCTGTAGATAGAGCAACAATCCAAGCACTGACATTAGGGCTGGGCGATAAAACGAAAATTTACAGGTATCTAAATTTACGACCATAATCGACATCATTTTGCCCATGTCAATATATTCAGTGTCAAAAAAATTAATGAATCAAAGTTGGTTTTGGATGTGTGTAGGTAGGCTTTGGTCTCATGTCCCTTTAAGACACTGTCCTACGTCTGGACATGACTCCACCTCATCCAGTCTGTAACAAAGAGGGAAAGACAGGTGAGGAGATGGAGGACGGTTCAAAAGTTGTAGCGGCTGAAGTAGACCAAGTTAATGTGGGAGGGGGTGAGCAGCTTGTGGAGTAGTTATCGTCCATTTATCGTTATCGAGGTGAACTGCTCAATATATTGTGATATAAATTTGAGGCCATATCGCCCAGCCCTAACTGACATACTGTGAGTCTCTGTGATTGAACATCCTGTTTGCAGGTTTATAGGTGGCGCATCACTAAAGAAATGTGAACAGCTGAGGATCTGCCTCGGCTTTAAGATAGTAAAAGTAATTCCTGTATTATTGCCACAGTCAGCCTCCGTCCCTTCACAGCTATATCCAGTATTGTACAGTTCAGTTCAGTTCAGTTCAGAGCTCCTCAAGGGAGATTCGATCTCCAGTTGGTGGCACAAAACACACAATATACAGGGCTCGACAGCGCGACCGTTTCACTTGCATTTACAACTGAAAATAGATGTGTGAGAATCGTAAAATGTATTTAGGGAAACGTGAATAAATCAGCCGAGGCAGCAAGTGTTTTTCATGTAAATTTCGTGGTGAAGTTAGTTTTAGGTTGGATATCCGATGGACACTCACTGCAGATCTGCCGGTTTCTTCTCACTCTCCATAATCAGGAATGGCAACAGCAGTGCGGTTAAATCTACTCTCTCTCGTTGTCAACATCGGGTGTTGATTAAGGGACCATCAATAAATTACCAGTTGATTTTCTCAAAAAAGGCTGTTTTCCTTCAATAGCTTCCATTACATGTGACCAATTGACCTAAAATTGATTTCAAATAATAGTACTTATGTCGACCAATAAGACACACATTATTTAATCATTTTTCATTGTGCCCCCAATGTCTTTGTGTGCTCCTTACTTTTTCAAATTAGGAGCACATGTACCCCTCGTGAAAAAAAGTTAGTGTCAAGCCCTGACATATATTAATATGGGTCATCACAGTTATAAACAACCAACAAATGATTAGAAGCGATCTTGATCATGCTATAAGTTCCTCCAAGAGTGTGCAGCCAGAGCGTGACACAACCGATCGTACCTCCTGCATAACTTGTCGGTCAAAGATCTTCGTGAGCCAAAGAGAAATGCTAAATGCTGATCATCTTACAAGCTTCTGGACCAACTCTTGACAGATAGTTTTTGATCTATACTTTAAGGTTCCCGTAAAGTGAAATGAAACCGGAGTTTGAATGGACTGGATAAAAGATCTGCGAAACGAAACCATCAAAGTCTCGTCGACATGAAGAGAATTTAGTCTGTGCAGGAAATAGAGTCTCTGCAGGCCGTGTTTGTAGAGTTTTTTTTATCAATCACTGTCCCCAACTATCTCCACATATGTACCTCTGACTGTGCTTGAGGGAGTTGATTGTTACTGTTTTATGCTTTAAATACGACTATCTGTACTTCTACTTAAGGAGAGAACGACTGAGCGTCTGCTGATCAGAAGGTGAGAGTGACAGAGGGTCAGACAGACGCTGAAAAGTGAGAGGAAGATATTGAGACGTCTCTCTCTCTCTCTTTCTCTCCACGTCTGGTGACACCAGATGAGAAAGAGTTTGTTCTGCGTTATTGTCCCTGCAAGAAGTAAAAATCACAGTCAAACATTTCGAAGAACGAGGACGAGGAGTGGGAGGTGTGTTTGAAAGATCGCACATTCAGCCAGGTGCGGAGAGACAGCAATGCTCTGGCAGAGCGGCGTACGCTGGGTATAGTGTTTCATATTCACACACACACACTTACACACACTCACACACACACACAGGGGCCCATTGTGAGTGTATTTATTTGGACAGAGCTGCAGCTCAGATAGGCAGTTCACAGTGTCTCACCGCCGCAGGAATGTGCTTCTGACAAATGGATGCTCTGCACGAAACCACAGGAGATCCTGAACGCCACGCCACCAGCATGTGACAGATCTGTGCTGCCCCGAGAAACCCGGTCCAGAGTGCTAAAACAAACACGACCACAACTCGCCTGCGGCCTGTGGCTGAATGCAGGATTGATTTGGTTTCATCTCTGAACGCTCTTTCATGAGCGTGGAGACGAGGCAGAGTCAGGATTCAGGGCGCCTGTTTCTAGACCCATCAGGTTATTGGCCCTGGACACTCAAAGTAGACCACATACCACCCCTTACTCCACGAGAAACATAAGAAATAGAGTATTTTTACATTTACGCCCTCTGTGTCTTCTTCCCTTTCTGTCTCCATTGTTTCTGTAAAGCTAACGCCAGCTTAGCCACGGCTCACACGTCAGCCCCTGATTGGACGAACGCCGCTCTCAAATCCACACTGTTTGTCTTATCTTTACTCGGGGGGGATATATTTAGTGAGGGGCTTAGCTTTTAGGAGGTCGGCGCGTGGGGAGGGTAACTGTGTGTGTGTGAGGAAGTGTGTGTGTGTGTTTCAGGAGCTGGCGTCAGTAGACAGTGGAAGAGCTTGGCACTCTGCATGCCAATCTGTGAGTGAGTGTGTGTGTGTGTGTGTGTGTGTGTGTGTGTGTGTGTGTGTGTGTGTGTGTGTGTGTGTGTGTGTGTGTGTGTGAGTGTGTGTGTGTGTGTGGAGGACAGGTCTGTGGGTCCCCCCCTCCTCTCTCTCTCTCTCTCTCTCTCCCTCGCTGCAGTCAGGAATCTGCCCTTTAGTTTATTAAAAGCTGGTGAAACAATGGAGGGAGGTGAGGAGGGTGAGAGTGAGGAGTGTGAGGGTGAGGGTGTAGTTATGATGATGCAGTCACAGAGGAGCAGGCGGAGGGTGGAGATGCAGCGATATTCCTGAAAAAAAATCCCTCTCTCTACCTGTCAGCCCTCCTCCTCTGTTCTCCGGTGCACCTGTTCTCAGCTCATGGCGGCAGCAGCGGCGGCGGCTCTTTAACAGCCCGTTTTCACTCCGAGAAACTCGTTCCCCGAAGAACAACTGTGTACTCAGCTGCTGACCGTTGGGTCGGTGATAAACTGAAGGTCCCTCTGAAGATCTGACTCTCACCATCTCAGCAATGCTCAGATCCTAAAGGCTGCAGCAAGCAGACGATCCGACTGCTTTAGATTTTAACTGAATGAATTAAAAAGAAAATTAGATATTTTTTAAATTTATCACAAATAATAATAATAATAATAATGCATCAGATTTCATATAGCGCTTTATCAGAGACCCTCAAAGCGCTTTACATTGGATACATCATTCATTCGCTCACACAGTCACACTTTGGTGGTGGTGGAAACGTGGCTGCCATTCTGCGCCTACGGCCTCTCCGACCACCACCACACAACACTCACAATCATACACCAGTGGAGGACACACACTGGGAGCAAGGTGGGTTAAGTGTCTTGCCCAAGGACACAACGGACAGACTTGGATTAGGGGGGAATCGAACCGCCAACCTTCCGGTTATTGGACGACCGCTCCACCTCCTGAGCTACTGCCGCCCAAATATATGCAATAATCTGCTCATTTCTGTTATTTTCAGGCATCATAGATCTGTCATCAGTCAGACATGTTAAATATAGCTTTTAATTTAACAATCATTTTTTAATAGTTTAATAGTTGTTGGTCTTAAATCCTTAATTTTTGATTGTCTGATAACTTTTCTGACGTAGCGCCTTTCAAAACTAACATTCACAAAGGCAGGAGCTCATGGGGATAATAGTAGAAACATAAAACAGACAGAGCGGTCCACAAAAGTCAAACAATACTAAAACAAAATTCAATACAATAACAGCCTAATTTACCAGATAATAAGAATGATATTTATTCACACCTCCTGCTGCTCAAAATAAAACTGGACTCGTGGACTGTGAAATTATTTTCTGCACACCATATGGCTGAAACAGTGAGACGGCTTCATGGAGAGATTTTAATTCCAGTGTTTCGCTTCTACTTCTGTTACAAAAAGACTTTCTGCACCTCATTTATTTTAGCTCATCCAGTTTAAAAAAAATGATTTCTGTTCAGGATGATATTTCTTAAATCCAGGGTTTAAATGCTTAATTTTGTCCGTCTCCTCTGGTATCTTCTCCTCTGTCTTTAATATTGCAAATAGTGAGATAAACCTTGAAACAAGGATCTTGTTGTTTATGGGCTTTTGGCAGTTAGCAGCTTCATTTCTCAAGAGGAAACTCTTCTCATGCATGTTTAGAGGGATAGGTATGTCCAAGAATTTGTGGGTTACACCCTAAACTTAATGTCTTTATGAGATCTCACTCCCCAGTGGTAGAAGAAACATTCACATCCTTAATTCAAGGAAAATCGTAAATACCATTGATTAAGTCTGAAATGAGGATATCAAAAGTAAAAGTTATTCAAATCTTGCACTGACATTCAAAACTTTAAGATCTTGGTCAGAAAGGGAGTTGTAATAGTCTTTTAAACGCTTCTAGTTGTAAGACTCCAGCTAAGTAACACAGAGACACCTCATGATTGTAATATCCTACAGCGCAGGAGTAAATGAACTTGTATTACAGTATCTCGATCCTCCTCCGCCACCTCTGAGAGAGACATCTTAATACCTGCTGTCCTTCAGCTTCGAATCAGCGTTTTGTAACCCCAGAGTCCTGAAGCTGCAGACTGAAGGATGTTGCTATGTGAGGAGGATTATTTGGTGGTTTTGTGGTTTGGCGCTGGAGTTTTCTGGACCTGGACTGGATCTTTCTACAGACTCCGGGCCCTTCTTGAACGATCTACCTCTCAGCGCTGCTGAATCTAGGAAATGTGATTTTCTCCATGACATGTGATCTGTGCTTTATGAAGCAGTAAATGTCGATGAGGAGATAGGCATACACAAATATTATGTGCAGTTCCATGTAATGCACATGCTTCTATAATTTCCTCCACCTGTGGGCCTCCAGCTTTTACTCTCTAATTAGCTTTTGAGTACCAGGAATTCCTCATTGATCGCTTAAGAGGAGAAGTGAGTGCTTCAGATTTCTCAGTCGTTCTGCCAAATTAGGAGAAAAAACAGAGCAAATTGACATCCTCAGTTAACTGCCAAAAAGAGCTTTTTATAGCTCCCACTGTTTGTGTTTTCTAAATCAAGCAAGAAATTAACGAAACGCTGCATGAAAGAAATCGATCAGAGTCTGGGTCAACCTGACATCCTGAGGCGGCAGTAATGATTGATCCGAACTCCATTTAAAAAAGAGCATTTTTGAAGTTGTTTATTTTTGAAGAGAATTAAGGACCAGCAATGAGAAAAATATGCATCTGTATGTGCATGTTGAAGCTCTTTTATATCATGCTAACAATAACCAAGACGTGAGCGCACTGAGTATGAGTAAGATTAAGATCTGCATGAGATGAAGTAGTAGTAATAATAATAAACATAAGCAAAATAAAACAAGGTGGACATACAATCAAGAAAACGTCAAGAAATAACAAAGATTATACAAGACATGCAAACTCCAAAAAAGGTAGAATTCTTTTGAGGGTTCAATAAAAACAGTTAAAAACATTTAGAACTGGAATTTAGGTAAAATTAGGAAAGGCTTAAGGAAGACATCACTGACTCAGCTGACCTGAGAGTTTTGGGCCCCTCACTGCAAATGCTCCATCCCCCTCAGTTTTCTGTTTGGTTTCAGGAACACACAGTAGACCCCTGCTTTATGTTCTTAATAGTAGCAGGTCTGAGACAATAGTCACTAAAAAGTTCAAATCAATTCTAAAACATACAGGAAGTCAATGTAAAGACACTAAAACGGGAGTGAAGTGATCATGTTTTCTGGTTCTAAGAAAAAGACATGATTGAATAGTGTCAGAGAGGACGGATAGAGGCAGGGAGGGAGAAATTAACAAAAACGAAAGTTAGCGCAGAGAGAGACATTCTCACCTGAAGCAACGCACACTGTGGAAAACGTCCCTGTGTGAGTTTTTGGAATGAATCTGAACACTTTGCAGTCTGATTGAGTTGAATTCATGCAAGAGAAAATAGATCCCTTGGTCATTTATATGAGAAATCTTGAATGATAAAACTTGGGCCTGGACTTGTTGTACCCAAAGGTTTACTTATGGATGTATGCAGTTTATACCTTGTACCATACCTCAAGCTAAAACTCTTATTAATCTGTCAGAACAAGTTTTAGATGATCAAAACAAAGAGGACAAAGTGGTTCTGCCTGAATGGACTATGAATCACTCTCTAATTGGAAGTCTGGCTTTCCTGTTGGCGTCATTCTGGATGGAGCTGAAGTCTGTAGACGACAGTCATCGAGTGAAGCTGTTTACTCACAATAAACTGAGACTTCGAGAGTGATTCAGAATGATTGACTGGCTCTCTGCAGAGCTCTGCTGCCAACAGACCTCATCTATTCTTCATTTTCGTAATGAAATCATGAAGCCCTCAAGGTGACACGCTGAGGTTTGATCCAGTATTTCTCCCAAGCAGAACCGCGGTATCAAACAGACGGGTACGAAGAATCGATCCGTCTCGGGATGAAGGACGAAGAGGAGGTTTGGGGAGGACGTAAAATGAGGACGAAGACTGGAACACAACCTTGGACTGGACTTTGTGATGATATCAGAGGTTTGATTGGAGGATGGGATGGTTTCCAGGAAAGACGTGAACTGCTAAAGTTTGTCCATCATTCAGTTTGGATGGGATGTAGGATTTGCTCAAGAAACTCGAGCCCTGGTCCACCACGGTCGCCCTGAAACCTCCAAACCTCATTGACTTTTGCCTCAGCCTCCAGTACAGACTGAAGGAGAGGCAGCCAGGCACCACACACTTGGTTAAACACTCACAGAGCTGTAATGAACTCACTCACTCAGATAACATCTCCTTTAATATCCCAAAAGCCCCGCTATCTGAGCCAGCTGCCAATCGTAGCGATGTATTGATACTGGCGTTCAAAGCCCGAGCATGAGTCATCGAAAGAGACGGGAATGAAGCGGCGTAGTCACCTTGTAGTGAGGAATGTCCTTGTTTGCATGAGAATGTGTCTGGAGTCGAACTGCCGCCGTCGGCTGCATAACAAGCAGTGGACGATCAATAGAAAATCATCCGTGCTGAACATTAGGAGGTTATGTCGGTGATGTCTGGCCAGCTCAGATAATTGTTCATCAGAGAGGACGGAGCTGGCTGCAGACCAGACCGACAACATTTGGCTTGTTGCTGTATTTAAAGGTGGATCACCTCCATCTTTGTGTTGTTTGTTTGGCTTCACTGGTACAGCCAAGTAAAAACACATGTTTTCGGAGAGTTCAGTGATTTATGGGAAAACACTGAGTCAGTTTTTCTTCTGTCAGCACAAGTGCAGTCACATATTTCACCTGCTTTCATACAATATGTTTCCACTTCGTGAAACCCTTTCACTGAGTGTAGCAAATACTTTAAGTACGTCCATCAACCTGTAACTGTATGTAAACATGACAACGCATCTCCATCTTCACCAGGTTTACAGACATGAAGCCAAAGGACTGGTGCTGACATCTTAAACATTCAGAGCCAGAGTCAAAAACATACACAGTTTATTTATTTAACTTTATGTCATGCAAAAAAATGGATTTCAGCGATTAAGTCCAACTGGAACTGGACTTTAAAATTACACATGAACAGATTAGTCCAGCTGAGTTGGACAAGTTGGACTAACATACCTCGATAACGCGGTTTCTCTTGCATGAATTAGATCTTTTAGGACTTAAACCTGCCTAAGTGTTCTGCTCGTGCTCCACAGTTTACACCATTGTCTCTGATCCTGAAGGTGAAAAGCATAAATGTGTTGAAGGAGGTCGGGCAGGAAACAAATCCTCAACAGAGGGAGAAGAAGGGAAGTAGACATGATACAAAGCTGTCAAAGGAGATACAGTTGACCACCTGCCGATGTGTTTATCAACTGTTGGTTTGTAATGTATTGGGTCCACCAGGTCCAGTAGTAGCTGGCTGAAAGGTGGGTGCATTGCCAACAAGCATTGCAGTTAGTGAGATATAACCCTAGCTTCACGTAACTGTGTGTGTGAACTTACAGAGTGATGTCACTTGATTTCTTCTGGAGTGGAGTTATGAAGGCCTACGGTGGCTGTCCCCAAATTAAAAATGCTGACTCAGTCTATCTTCCTGTAGAGAAACAGACAAAGAGGTGGATCTGTGGAGACCCTACTAGAGCCGACATCACAGTGAAACACAAATGTCTTCCACAGAAGACCACATAAACTTCTCAGAGTGGGGTCTTGTAGTGTTGTTGGTGCCAGAATCAAGGAATGATAATAATGAGACAGCCTCCTGTGGACACTAGAGGAACTACAGATTTCTTTTATTTTGACTGCTTTCATATCTCTTTTGTAATCTTATCTTTATTCTGCTGATTGAGCACTCAGACAATATCTTGTATCTGCAGAGCTGAAGGCTGCAGTTTCAGGACCGCAATTCTCAGACTTCATCTCAAGGATCCTGGCGGTGTGACTGTTCGGGTTGAGGTCGGGACATTTGATATCAACTCTTCCTTCATCATCCATCTTGACTCTGAATTGCGGTTTTCAACAATCCATTGCACTGTGTGGTGCACACAAAAAAACAAGCTTCTTATCCCTGAAACCCACCCAGGAACTGAACTGTGAGCATCATGTTACAGTTTTGCTTCGTCTGGGGGTGCGTGCCCACTGGCCCACTGGAAATATGTTGTGGTCGACATGGATAGGCTGTTGTGTGGCTGGTTTTTGTTAACAATAAATCCATCATCAATGAGTATTTCTTATTGATGCAATCTGATATTCGGTTGGGGGTCATCACCTGGTGTTTTATTTTGAAATCTACTAGATGGTATCTGCTGTTTCTGTGTTTAACATCTACTGGGACTTTGCTAAGGAAAGCCACAACGCTTCCGGTGGAAACATAAGCGTCGACTAGAGGGTTCACAGATTGGCTGTGGCACTAACGTAAAAGCACGCATGCATTCAGGTTTTAGAAATTAAATTGTAGTCTCAACAGACCTGCTCAATCTCTGAGATTTAATTCTTATCTCGTCTGTAACACCATCCTGTAACTCTGGAGTGAGAGTTGATGCTCTTAAACTCCAAAATTCAAGACTTTGTTCCTCAGTTGGTCCCTTGCTTTGACAGCAGGACAAAAAATGAAGAGCAGAGTGGATTTTCTAGCTTTTCTCTCAATCTGCTGCACCTGACACCAACACTGAGGGAGTAAAGTTGTGGGTTCGACACCTCATAAGAGATGATCAGAGCAGCTTTAGGACCCTCTCACAGTCTGAGCTGTGTTCTGAGGGGCCCTGCTTGTATGCAGATGTTGTTTTAATTATTTCTGGTTCATCATGTGCTTTCTTGGGGCATATTCCAAATTAAAATTGTGCTCCACGCACTTAACTAATTCACAGAAAACCTGGAGCTCATTAATTTTATTCCATGATAGCACAGCGGGTTGTTCTCGGGTGTTTAATGAAGCTGCCACGTGCGCGCGGCTGTACAAAGTGTGCTTCAGAGGAATTTGGAGGGCAGAAACACGGTGCATCAACTGAGGCGAAACAGCAGATTGATTATTCTGATACCTGCTTCGAAAAAGATGGAGGTGAACATGTTCAGGTTCCCGCGTGAGTTGCACTTTTCTACCTTCATTTGAGTTTGATACATGCTTGAGTGATGCTGACGCGGAAATGGAGGCACACGTCGCCGTTTATACGCCGTCCAGTGTACAGCTGGCAGGACTGGAGATGCTGATGGGTGCTGATTGTATTTGACCGCTCTTAGCTCTTAGAGCACCGGGGCGTCTGCTGTGTAAACCCTGCAGCACATGCTCGACGGGCCAACCAAACATCTCAGGGAGTATTTATTTGAACAGGTCAAATGATAGTTGTGTTTCTCTCTGGAGGAATGTTAAGGTTAAATGTTTCCCCTCAGAAAGAAAAACATGAGGTTGGAGGGGTTTACATGGGGGAAGTGTGATAGGGTTTCTGGTAAACTTGTTGTATTCTGAGGTTTTAGCTCAAATATGGAAATTAGAACACGTTTTCAAGTTTGTTCATTGACTTTGCTCGAACTTTGTCAAACCCCCTGCACAAGGGCGTAGCTTCCGTAGTCACTCGATATGCAATCGCAAAACACATTTGGGCTGGAGTGATTCCTGGAATACCTTGAGGCAAAATAAACTGTTGTTAATATCATTATTTAGCAAAGTTCATGGACATGTCATGCAGGGTTATGGACCTGTCTAAACATTTCAGGTCATATCATACTTATCCTTTTAATGGTGGGGAAAAGACATTTATTTCTGTTGCTGTGTCCATGTTTATTTCCATCTTTAGTCCTACCTGTCTTTGTGTGGTGAAAATTTCCTTTAAACCTCATCCTGATCAACTTGTTGGAACCTGTTACATATTATGCCCTGGCTGACCATTAATCCTCATCCTGCCTGTACAAGATTCACCGTTTTACTGTCTTTTTTAAACAGATGTTGATTTTTAACCATGTTTTCTCTTAGTTGTTAAAAATGAATGCTTTAGTGTTTTCTTACAGTTTAAGTAGCACAATCTTCACAGCCTGTGAGCACTCAGATCTCAGTGTTTCCACTGTGCTGCTCTGCAGGGGCATGTCCAGATGTTTTCGACAAGGGTGGCTCAACCAGAGCACTGAATAAGTGGGGTGGCAAGAGTGTCAAGTGCCTTTATTTTCACCCATCGCAAGTAAAATCATTTACCCGCTTAATCCACGTGAATCTAAACGCGTGAATGAATAGTATTTACTCGCTTCATTCACGCATCAATAGTAATTTTGACGGTAATCCCTGCCAGTTCAACCAGTTCAAGTGATAGACAAATTTTTTTTACAATTTACCAGGTAATCCGACCTCCTCACTCACTTGCCTCCAGGCAAGCTCCTTTTTATTACGGTTTTAGTAATTGAAAGAAAAGGTATCATATAATTCGAGGCACCCACACACCGACACGATCGGTGTTTGTCCGCCATTTTAGATACCAGTGAACAACGGTCCGTTTTCATACGTCACCTGGCAACCTTCATGCTGATCAGTTATCTGGTTGCGAATATCTGCAACATATGAGACATATTCAGCTTCTGCCCAATTCGCATCGTTCACACCGCTAGAGTAGTAGGAGCGTCTAATCGTGTCTTTACATTTACTTAATGTGTAATTCATTCGTGCTTGGTGCGTGGAGACAGTAATAATAAGAGAAGATGATCGTTTATCATTACCACAGTTAGGAAAGTTGCATACTTACAGCAAAAAATGGCCAAAATACAAACAATGAAAAAAAATGTCTTTATCAGATTACTGAAAAATCTATAAAGATTATTCAATTAAGAAATAGATTCAATGCTCAATGATTAAATCTGGTTACTGCAGCCTTACGTGAAATTGACACGTTTGTGTTGGGACATGCGTCATTGCAGTGCACTGTTTTTGGGTTCCTCTTTCACTGCTTTCACAACAACTCTTTCATGTAGTGTAACAAATTAAATTTCAGACTTGCTAACATCTGATGCACAAACTTATTCATGAATTTTTTGGACCTGAAAAAAAAACCCTGAAGATACAAACGTTCAAACATCACGCCATGAGACTACTCTGTGCTTTCTTTCACTTAGCAGCATTTAAAAGCTTATCTTGATCTGTTTTTAGTTGACCTTGAAACTGAAAAGACCCTGAATTCATGCATATTTCTTTGAAGTTTAGGTGAATGTTATTTGATCAACGAAGACAGGCATTTACAGCCCATCTAAACACTGGAGAATAAAGCATTTTTGTACATAAATACTAACGATCATAACATGATAAAACAAATCTTGCCTCTTGAACTTTGATCATTATGCTCCCCTCATGTAAACACACTCTCTGTAATTTACAACACATTGCCTGTTAGCGAACCTGCCCGGCCTCAGCGCGCTCCCTCTTAACACGCAGCTCATTATCAGGAGGACAATAAAAGTATGGAGCTGGAGAAAGAAAGAGAAACATGGGAACATGTGAGCGTGTGCAGCAGGACTGGCAGAAGGTTCAGACTCATGAGAGGGCTTGTTGGGAGAGCGATTTGTTTTAATGAAAAAGTCGTTCCTGCAGAGAGGAAAGGGCTCGGCTGCAGGCTGTTTGTGCATGGCTTAAGTTTCTGCTCTGTAATAAAAGCACAGGGACTTATGTGCGTGTAGAGTGAGTGCAGTGTGTGTGCTGTCTGTGTGGGTGCATGTAGGGGCGACCGAGGGATAAAGGAGACAATGCAGGCGGCCAGGTTTGGAGCAGCACATCAAACAGTCAATCACGAACGCTGGCAGAGACGTCTGTGAGAATGTGTCTGCAGGGGCGAGTGTGAGCTCTGTGTTGGATGAAATAATGACTGATAGACAAAACACACTGCCCACACACACAATATTGTTTCTTTATGTGTCTTTATCACTTCATTTCCCCACTCATGCCTTCCTGTTTGTCTTTTCTTTCAGACTGTGGGGGATGGAGCGACTCGACAAAGAAACCCTCCTACAACCTGTCTCCCTCCGACTTTCTGACCTGGAGTTTGAAATACGAGATAAAAACAAATAAAGAGACTGAAAAACAACATTCAGGAAAGAGATCAGAGGAAAAACATCAGAAAGGAAAATAAAATTAAAGGAAACAGAGACCAGGTGAAGTTTCGGACACTCCTGCGGGATCAGGATCCCCACCATGTCGCTCTCTGTGGGCCCTTCCTCGGGCCTGCTGCTGGTCCTGATGTGCTGCCCCCTGCTGGGCCTTGTGCAATCTGCAAGTAGCAACAAGGCGAGCGATAACGCACACCCGCACTTGGGGGACTCTGACCCAGAGCGCTGCATGAGGCACCACTTTGTGGAGACTATCACACACCCCATTTATAAATGCAACTCCAAGGTGAGACACACGAACATATCATGACAAATCTTACACATATCAACAGATCTTATAATGCCAATAAAGATTTGGAACGTTGTGATTGTATTGGAAGCAGAGCTCTAGGTGAGTTAGAGGGCGTAAGAGTTGACAACCTGCTTTCTTTTGGCTTTTACTCAAAGTAGAGATGCACAGCTGTGCTCCCATTCATTAAGAAATATCTGTTTTTTTTACTGATTCAGTGAAATAGAATGTTCTTGAGGGGTCAGAGGGCTTGGAGATGCAAACATTTCTCTTTGTCTCATGATGTGCCTCACTGCTATTTCCTTAGAACCTGCACAACCCTAAAGCTTCAGCCTGAGACTGATCATAGTGCTCCCTGATACCAATAAATACTTCCTTTATGTTTGCAATACCCTGTCAAGGTCTTTTAAGTAACGAATGCAGTTTGGCTTTTGTGTCCCTGCGCATAAATGTTGATACAACTGCTGATTTGGAAGGTCAGTGTGTAAATCAGTAGATTTAACATCAATCCATGCTTTACAAAAACTCATACAGTGACCTGTGAGTGTTCATTGCATTTGTAAAAGTGCAGTAGACAGAGGGAGGGTGGGCATACCAGTGTGAGCCTGGCCTATTTAGGTAAAAAGACAGAAATGAGCCATGTAAATAGCAACACGCCTGTCTGCAGGCGCACCTGGCTCCTAAAGGGAATGAAAGCAGATACACTAATTAGCCTGATTTATGTAACATCTAAAATAGACCTATGAATAATCACACCAATCCTCGCACCTCATTGAGCACCAAGATTGTGAACCACTTAACGAGCTTGATTCAGTGTTATAATATTACATTAAATCATTCTCACTTTCACTTGGTGGGTGACAGAAGGACAAAAGTTTATCCACATATTTCAGCCAATCCTTCTGCTATAATTCTACTTCATTCTTGTTACTTTTATTGTATTTTTAACACTTCACCTTCCACCATTTTTAACTTTTTAGTTAACCTGCACAGGTTTATCCTAAACTTCATCCTCCTCTAATCTACCTCTATCAACTATCTCAAACTGAGCTGAAAGACAAAACCTGAGTGTGATCTCAGTGTGCAGAAAAGATCAACATAAGCCTTCATTCAGATATTTTTTATCCTCATAAAATCTCAGAGAGCTCACATGCTTTAAAAAAACTAAGCCTGAGGTTTGTAAATGCCGTGAAATGTTCACAGATTCTGCAGGAACTGTCAATAACTGATTGGACTCGCATTATCCCGTGGATGTGAGTCACTGCTCTGCTTTACCGCAGCTTCAAAACTGACCTTTAGCAGGCGACTTCAGAGTAAATTTAGACGTTTTAAATGTCAGAAAATGTTCCTTGCCGCCTGCAGCCATCATCTTTTCATAATTGTTTGATAATTCACCTTCCTCAAACTGATCAGAGCTTCCTCTGTCTCTGAATCTGTGGCTGATAAAGCTGCACAAACTCATTGATTGAGCATCAAACAGTGACATCACAAAACGTGATAATCAATTAATCATTATAGTCAATTTTCTTGCATGTCACGTGTTATTTTCTGCTACATTAGTATGTTTTGACAAGGTTTCCAAGCTTTTTTCTGCACCCAAACGCTGTTGAGGGATTTCTAAATCTCAGCTATCATGATGAAGTGATTAAACAAAATAAATTGCGCAAAATTTGATCATGCGTAAAAACATATGATCAAATATGAATCAAGAGCAATATTTAGTTATAAAGACTTTTAAGTAGGTTATCTTTGCTCTGACTTTTCTTGTTGCAGTTTTGAAGCAGCAGTAAAAGAGTTTCTCACTCTTGTTTTTGATGCTCGACTCTTAGAGAAACTCAGATGCACAGGGCTCAGTGGATCTGAAATTTAGGGCTTGTTTTCAACCAGAACCGGTTCTCTCGCTTCCCATCATTCACACACACACTCACAAATACGCACACGCACACACCTGCTGTAAACTAATCTGCCTCACTGTGGTCGTCAGCTCATTTCTGGCCACAAGCTGTTTAAGGTAACAGAGCGGCTCTACCTGACAAATGAGCTTCATGGTTTCAAACACAGGGGGATTGATTTCCTCCAAACCAAACTTTAGAGACACAAAGAAAACCTCGAAACACACTCAGAAAGAGAGCGAACCCTCCAACACTAACCGAGCAGTCGTTTATCTTGCTCGCTTTTTCACTTTTGCTACTCGGGTTTCTCCTTTTTCCCCTCAAAACCTGGTCTGTTCAGCCAATCCTATGCCACCTTTTTTCCTCCCCTCGTTTTATCTCCATCTCTCAGTCATTCAGACGAGTCATGCTTGGTTTGTTTTGGAGTGTGTGTCTGTGTGTGTGTGCTGGACAGGGGCCACACTGCAGACATACTCTGCACCTCAGCTGGGACTCAGATTTGGCTGAAGTGGACGCCTCGCTGCTCGGGTTAGAGAGCTGCAGAGAGAGGAAGTGGAGTGAAGCTGCACTGAGTCATCCTCTTTCATTTCTGTCTGAAAGTGTCTGAAAACTTTGTGAGACTCGGCGTGTTAATCACAGTGAACATGTGACTGTTATTGTCAGTGCTCGCTCGCTCGCCGCCGCTCTTGTTCAGCAGCCTGCAGTTGTTCAGCTCGCGTGTCCGATCACTTCTTTGGTCTTTTTTTAATTTTCTGACTGAGTGCAGGGAGCAGGTGGCCAAACCACAGCTCAGCTCTGCTCTGGGCTGAACTCACTCCCAGCGTGAGTCTGTTTCTCCGTTACAGTTCACTGAGAGCTAAAAGGGCACCCAGCTGAGCGGCTGGTTTTACTCCTCAGTCTGTTTCACTTTACACTGAATCCACCTGGATCAGGGCCGGCTGTGCTTTCAGTTGGTGTGCGCATGTTGAAGAGTTGTTTGTAAGGGTATATACAGTTCTTTCACTGTTCAACAGAAGAAGAAATAAGTCGATTTTGTGGCTCTTGTAAATGATGTCAACAAATCAGTGCAGAGATCAGTGTATTTGCATTAGTTTTCAAAATCAAGTTGAGCATAGAATAAGGTGACCAGACGTCCCTGATTTCCGGGGACAGTCCCCGTACTGGATGACCCGTTCCAGGCTAAAGCTGTCCCTGGAAATGTCCCTGATTTAAGCGTTTCATAAATGAGAACAAAATTGTTGTGTGTAGACTAAAAGGGTTATTATGGTAGCCAAGTAGGTAGGAAGCAGGAGTAAGCATGTTGCACACAGACAGAAATCTGGTCACTTTAAAGGGATATTCCAGTGTAAAATCAATTTAGGGTCAAACACACCGTCACACAGAGTTAGACACCCCCTCCAGAGATGAATGTTGCCGACTACTTGCTTCTCTAGTTATACCAACTTGAGTAATGACCGCACAATAGCAATACACCATGGTCTAAGGAGCTACACACAAAGCTCAACCAAAACGCCATCACCAGTACATACAGGGTCCCAGCCGTAGTACTAGCCACCAAACATCTTCTTAGCTTTGTCTGATTTCTTTAGCAAAGAGACTAAACTTCCAGCGCTCACCTACTGTCTTGTTTGTAGCGAGACCTCGGGCCAATCCATTGCAGACTGCTGCAGGGTGACGCAGCTCAAAGAAGAACATTTATGATCATTTCTTTATCATTTCCTTGAAGTAATAATCATCATATTAATCATTTTGCACTGCAGAAGCGGTAGTTCTTCTGCCTTAGTGTCTCGGTCTGATTGTATTTCCATGAAGAAATGATCATAAATGTTCTTCCTTGAGCTGCGTAACCCCGCAGCACTCCGTAATGGACTGGCCCGAGGTCTCGCTACAAACAAGCGGCTGCTGGAAGAGAGAAGGTGAGTTGTGTTTAGTGTCTTTGCTAAAAAAATCAGGCAAAGCTAAAAAGATGTTTGGTGGCTAGTATTATGGCTGGGACCCTATATATACTGTTGATGAAGTTAGGTGCTGTTCTGAGCATTATTTGTGGCTATAGAGTGGCGTTTTGGATAAGGTTTGTGTGTGGCTCCTCAGACCACTGTGTATTGCTATTGTGTGGTCATTACTAGAGTTGGTATAACTAGAGAAGCAAGCAGTCAGCAACATTCATCTCTCGAGGGGGGTGTCTACTCAGTGTTACGGTGTGTTTGACCCTTGATTAATTTTACGCTGAAATATTCCTTTAATTTAGGAGACCTTGGTGCCAAGGTTATTTGCAGCAGGGTTTGAAAATATCTGACCAGTAGATGGCAGTAGGTCCAGGTAAAATAATCTCTGTTTTGTAAGAATTCAGCTCCAAAGAGTTTCACAACATCTAACTCTAAATCTCAAACTGCCACGGTCTGAATGCTGACAGGCAGGAAACTCTGAGTATCATCTGCATAAAAATGAAATAAAACACCATGATAATTTATGACGTGCTCCAGGAGTGCGTGTATAAGAGGAAATAAAATGGAGCTTAAAATTGACCCCTGAGGCACACCGTACCTCACATCAATAAAAGCAGACACAGAACCTTCTGTTTGTTAGAGATTATTTTACTATTTAAAACTAACAGAAACTCTCAGAGAGTGCTTCAGTCTGGCTAATAAATCGTTGTGGTCCATGGTATGAATGGGTGTACTCAGGTCCACGAGCACAAGGACTGAGCACATGCCTTGATAAGCAGCCATGAAAAGGTTGTTTGATACCTTGAGCAGTGATTTCTCTTTGCTGTTAAACTTCCAGAAGAGACAGAAACTTGTCAAAGATTGTCTTTTCAAACACAGCAAGAAATTGTTCGGACTTCATTTACCCGATTTTCAAACTAAGACAAGATAAGAACTTTATTGATCCCCAAAGGGAAATTCAATAAAATGATGTCAGAGCAACTTAAAAAAAACAATCAGACTGAAAACAAAATATGTTCAACGCAGAGTGTTTTAAAGCTCCAGTAGGTGTGGCTGAGTGATTACAAGTTTTCTGCACATTTAAAGACGAGAGTTTATGTTATAGACAGACCTCATATTTTCTCTTGTAGAGAAAATACTTCCTCTTTCCAGGAAATGATTGTAATCTGATCAAATACAAACTACACAAGTCAGAACAAATTGAACCAGAAACTGGTCACCTAAAAACAAAGATTATTAACAGTAATACTGATCAATCAGCGATTTTTACCATCAGATTTGTTTGATCTAATAGATCAAGACATACTGAGTCCAATGAGGTCCAAGAACCTGTTTTCAGAGTCCATCAGCGGTCTGTTTGTTATTTTGGATCTGTTGAGACCTTTATTGTCGAGGAGACAAAACCACAGTTTGAGTCTGACACTTCAGCTCACACACACACACACTGATACAAACACTCACACACTCGCTCTGTGGCCTGATTAGTGTTGTGGTGTCCGGCTGACATTCCTCGGTGTGTCACCACATTCCCGTCGCTCCCTAAACAGACTCCTGTGTCATGTCCTCCTGTCAGCTGCTGTGTGTCGCCACCCGTGTTCCCACTTTGACAGAGGCCTGTCTGGGGCCACTGCAGGGTGACACACACACATACACACACACACATATAAAGACAAACACACATGTACACACACCCTGGAGTGTTGTCGCCACTTTAAGACCATTTGTCTTTGTCCCAGCAGAGAATCAGGCCGATGGTGACAATTCCTCCTCTTTGAGGCCTCTTCTTTGTTCATACCTCTGCTGCTCCTCCTCTCATTCATGATCAGAGAGTTTAAATATTTTGTTTACTACAATCAAAGAAGTTTTGGTTTCACATTGTAGTAAAAATAGCAGAAACAACAGCTTCAAAATATCTCTTCCTTTTGTCTTTCAGATGGTGCTGCTGGCTCGCTGTGAGGGTCACTGCAGTCACACCACTCGCTCTGACCCCCTCATCTCCTTCAGCTCTGTGCTCAAACAGCCCTTCAAGAGCACCTGCTCCTGCTGCCGGCCGCACACCTCCAAGCTGAAGGCGGTGAGGCTGCGCTGCGCCGGCGGGACGCGCATCACCGCCACATACAGATACATCCTCGCCTGCAATTGTGAGGAGTGCAGCTGAGCGGGACGCAGCTCCCCCTCCTCCCAGACCCCTGAGACTCTTAAACCCAGATCCTGTTGGCCCTGAGCCGGACTCTAAAGCTTCCCAGAGGTTTGAAAATTGGACCAGAAACTTAACATGCTTGTTGTTTTCTGGGAGAGACAGTTTGGAGCGCTCGCACCTCCCTCCCTCGCTCCAAGCAGAAAACTATCCCCTCCACATTCAGAAATTTTCTCCAGGCCAGACACCACAAACTGCTGCTCCCCGGGGCCCACCTCGCAGAGGAGACACTCATTACAGACCGCTGTAACTCATAACACACATGCTCACAAACCGCAGAGGCCCTTACGAGTATGTCTTAGCGCTTTCTGCCTGCAACTCCATAAAAACCACCGCTGAGCATCCGACAACAAAACAACCCGGCTCGTTAAAAAGCAGCGCTGGAGAAGACGAGGCTCGGCCCGGGCGACATATATGGAGGATCCCCAGAGGAGCACCTGTGCTGTGTTTACTTACCTAATAATGTTTTACACGCTCCCTGCGGACGCTGATCCGGGCGTGTAAATGTGAGCAAGGCTGACAGGAGGACGGTAAACGAGAGGAGGCAGACGCTGTTAAAGGAGGCTGAGGGTAGAGACTAATAAAGACTGTGGAGGCGATCAGTGTTCATTTCAGTGTAATCTATCTGAATCTCTGTGATGGCGACTTTCAAACTGTAGCTTTCGTCGCTCTTGTCTTTCCTGTTGACATGTTCGATGTTTTGACACGCTTGTCCAACTCTGCATTTGTCTGTAAATCCTGCAAACAGTTTGCACACTCTCTGGAGAAAACCTGCAGAATATAACTCGTTCACTCAGTCTGTGTTTGTGCCAGATCATAAAACAGTTTATCCAAATAAAAACATGAACAAATCACTCCATCTCTGCCCATCATGGTTCCTTTTGTCTTTAAAACTCTCATTATCTCACTACAAAAGTTTCAGAGCTTAAAATTTTAGTTTGAATGGACCGATGGTGTTTATGGACGCCAGTAAAAAAAAACAAATAGTTTGAACTTTGTGAGAAACTCTTTTCAAGGTGAACCACAAACAGATTTTTAAAGCCTAAGTGGAAATACCAAATTATGAACTTTAGTAGGAAGAATGAGCTCTAATCTAAAGCTTATTCCTGGTCATTAAAAGTTGTGGTCATGTTTTCAAACAGCTGTTCTCATTAAAGGGATATTCCAGCGTCAAACACATTGAGAGATGAATGTTGCCTAGATCTTGCTTCTCTAGTTATACCAACTTAAGTAATGACCGCACAATAGTGATACACAGCAGTTTGAGGAGCCACACACAAACCTCAACCAAAACGCCACTCTATAGCCACAAATAATGCTCAGAACAGCACCTAACATCATCAACAGTACATATAGGGTCCCAGCCACAGTACTAGCCACCAAACATCTTCTTGACTTTTCCTAACTTCTTTAGCAAAGAGAGTAAACACAACTCACCTACCCTCTGACAGCAGCCTCTTGTTTGTACAGAGACCTCTGGCGAGTCCATCGAATACAGCGGGGTGACGCAGCTCAAGGAAGAACAGTTCTGATGATTTATTCATGGAAATGCAATGAGACCGAGACACAAATGGGGAAAAACCCACAGGGTCCGGAACGGCTCCGCTCCGCTCCAGCACGGCCGGCGGTTCAGCTCCGGCGGCTGGATCAGATACGCAGGGCTTATATTTTTGACGGATGCCACAGCACGCATCATTTCAGTGTAGCGTTGCACGAGCAGCAGCGGAAGTTGTATGCAGTAACAGAGTAAAAAACCCGGTTAATTTTCAAAATAAAATAAAGTCAATACGTTGAACTGTTTAACTTGATAATAGGAGAGGTCATGTTGTGGGATGTGGGTGTATATATACCAGGGCTCTCAAGTTTTGAACTAAGCTTAGAGTGAGATTTCCTGGGGGGGGGGGGGGGATTGAAGATAACTATTGGTATAATTATCTCTTAAATACAACGGAATATAAGGGGCACAATTAGAAAAAAAAACGTTTTTAAATATTAAAGAATAAAGTTATTATTTGGGAGAATAAAGTCATTTATATCAGTATTAAGTCGTAAAGTTACCTGTTGTGAAGGAGAGTTGTTAAAATCAGCACTGTGGAGCATTTAGATGAATTGTACTTTAGTATAGGTTTCACAAACATGGAGATACTTAAGTACAATTCAATACTTAATCCTTTGGTACATGAGCATTACACTGTCATGAGTATCAGAACTTATATTTGAGATATATGAGAAATGCTGCTTCTGTGGAGGGGAAAATGGCTGGAAATGGCTGTACAGAGACTAAATCCGTCAATACAGCTGTTAATACCTATTTACTCATTTACTTTATTTATTCGGAACTTATTTATTTATTTAGAACTGCTATTTATTACTGTATTTGTTTTTAATGATGCACTGACTGTCTGGCACTTTTTTTAATTTCATTGTACTGGTTACAATGACAATAAAGGACTATTCTATTCTATTCTATTCTATTCTAATAGCAATAGCATAGGGCTTTAGTTTATCATATGAGTTTATATGCCATGAGGTGTTGAGGTCTCTGCATGTGTAGGTTACTGACTTACTGTAATCATCGGGTCTATCTCGTCCTTATAAAAACCTGCTCTATTACGGCGAGTGTCTGTCTTCTTCTGTAGTCAAACCGAAAAATATCAAAATCTACTCGGATACAGCAATGCTGCTTTTTTATTGGCTGTTCAGTAGATATACTTTATTTGATTGGCTTGCGCGTGGCACACAGCTTCTGAACTCTCGGAGGAACTCAGTTGATTCCTACCTGTTCCATAGTTAAAGAGGTGCAACTTGGTGGACATCACCATGTTCATTTAAATGCGTGAGAAATAAAATGTGTGGCGTGTGAGCGTGTGAACGGGTGGGAATGCGTGTGTCACACGCTGAATGCGTGAGACTTGAGAGCCCTGTATACACTCACGTTTATATACGGCGATTTCTGTGACTACCGGGGAAACACGCTCGTGAGATCTCGTCCAGTCTCGCGAGAAATATTGGTAATCTCGTGAGTGCTTCTCCGACGGCGGCGGCGGATAAGATTCGGTGGGTGTTGTGGGCTTGTGTATCCGGTCCGCCTGCAGGGCCGGAGCGGAACAGAGTCGTCCCGGGTCCTGTAGGTTTAGCCAGTAAGGCAGAAGAACTACCGCGTCTGCAGTGTACAGTGATTAATATCGTGATTATTACGTCAAGGAAATGATAAAGAAATGATGATAAATGTTCTTCCTTGAGCTGCGTCACCCCACTGTAGTCTGTAATGGACTGGCCTGAGGTCTCTACAAACAAGCGGCTGCTGAAAAAGAGTGGGTGAGTCGTGTTAGTCTCTTTGCTAAAGAAATTAGGCAAAGTTAAAAAGATGTTTGGTGGCTAGTACTATGGCTGGGACCCTATATGTACTGTTGATGAAGTTAGGTGCTGTTCTGAGCATTATTTTCGGCTATTGAGTGGCTCCTGAGACCGCTGTCCATCCTGTGATTGTCACTAAAGCTGGTATAACTAGAGAAGCAAGTGGTTGGTGTCATACATCTCGTAAATGGGTGTCTGACTCTGTGTTACGGTGTGTTTGACCCTAAAATAATTTTACGGCGGAATGTCCCTCTAAGACCCAAGCTGACTGGCATCCATTGTGGCTAAAACACTTCCTAGTGACATGTAACTCATACAACATTACTTTAGAAATACTGAAATAGTCCTTCGATATCTAAAAGACCTCTTATCAGCTGGGCATTTATAGCAAACATGCAGCTTTACTCAAACTTCTTACCAACTTTCCTGAAAGACATTCAAAGGATGAGGAAAAAGAAACTTGTCAGTGCGGCTGAATTTCATCAGATTCAGAGATGCTGCTGATTCTGCATCCCAACATCCCCGAGAGACAACAAAACCTGAATCTGCTCATGAGGAGGACTGAGGTTTCTAATCTGACATCTCTTTCAGGCAGATTGTGAACACACACACACACAGACATACAGTGTGTTCGGCTGTCTTTGTCGTGTGTGAAGCTGTAAAACCTGCAGCTCTGTGGATGCTTCAATCTGACCAAATCTGACAGCTCAGCCGCTGCCTCACACGTGAACTTAATAAAAACGTTTTTCCTGCGACTCTTGAGATTAATCTGCCTCTCTGAGCTGTCTCCTCTCACTGTGTGTCCCCTTCATCAACATACACACACACACAGACACACACACACTGACGGAGAAGAAAAGGAGGAGGAGGCGGTGACATGAGGCAGGAGGTGTAATTATTTTGAGAAAGCAGAGACAGAAGTGCGCAGACAAAGTCTCTCTTCTCAAGGAGGCTCATGTTAAAACACACACTCTTCATGTTGGTGTGTGAGGCAGGCCCATGTGGTGTTTTATGACCCTCTTCACACCGGCAGACTTTACTCGCATTTATCCATCTCTGTGCTAATCATAACCATCCGAGCGTTGAGTAAAAATCAGAGAAAACAGACGTCTGACTGCAGAAAGAGTCACATCTGTGTGTTTAACATTCCATTAAAGTGCCAGACATGAAACATGGACGGCCGCCATGTTTGCAGACTTCACCTCCATTCAGAACCCAGGTTTGTGTTCAAGCTGTCAACACATACTTTACACAGAAAATAGGAACACAGTTGTGATTAATGTGCTGGAACATTTTAAATAGTCCGAGCACAATTAATGATTCGATGATGAGAGAGCCAAACAGGAACAAACGTTTTTGTACTTTTTCAACATTTCAGAATGTGAATAATGAGAGAATAGAGGTGAGTGTGAGTTTTGTTGACGTTTGGAGGGATGAAAAAGTGAAACAGTCGGACAGTTTTGGAGAAAAATGATGTTAATGTTGAATTTTACAAACAGAAATATGCATCAGGACTCATTTTAAAGTTTAAAAAAAGGATTAGAGCTCTTGCAAAATATCAGATATGGTGATATTTGTCTTTTTACGAATGAAATATTGATATTCTGCAAACAATTTAAACATGATGTCAAAATTTCGAGTTCTTAGTTGTGGTCCTTTACCCAAGTGTCAGAAAACGAAGAAGAGGCAGCGGCTGCTAGTGAGCAAGTTGTACCACACCTCTTAAGAGACGATTAAAAACTGACTTTCAAAGATTTATTCTTAATCTAAAACAACAATAGAGCTTGTGTCTCTTCAGGTTAGAGGTCAATAAAACATTTATACTTTCTAACTGTTCTTATAGCTGCTTTCCTTAATTTACAATCTATGAAAAGTAGCTTATTTTTCAAAATAAAAGCATAGTTTTTCCATGTAAGTTAAAAAAAAGAAACCGTTTTTTTTTTTTTTTGCATTTGAAATTTCTATAAATGTGAGACTCATCTCCTGTCCCCATCATCAGCCCAAACCTGAGGAGTCATGTACAGAAAGTTATCGTTTAGTATCTTTAGTAAGGCCATGCTGAATGTTCACACTTGTACAAACTGTTTTCTATTGTGATGAACTTTTCACATCATGTTACTTTTATTCATCGAAGACATTCAACCTTACTTTTTAGGATGGATTATCTCAAGAGTAAACTTTGAAAGTTCTGTAAAGTTAGAGTGTTTTCAAGCTTAGGCTGCTGCTGCCCCCTGCTGGTGAGCTGCTGTGTGTACAGCTGGTAACTTCCAAACAAAACAGTAATTCACTGTGTGCATTGTTGTTTCTTTTGTCTCCTGCCGCAGACACCAGACAGAGAAAATAGACTGAATATAATGTGTTATTTTTCAATACATCAAAACTGTTAAAGTACAGGGAATTAACCTGCTAACAGAGAGTTGCAGATCATGTCAAATTGATGTTTTGATTAGAGGACTTGGGAACAGACTGCAGAGAAGAAAGTAATCTAACTGAAAAGCAAGGCAAACCCTTTTTACAGATGTGTTATATCCATGTGTACACCTTTACCTTCACTCTGTGAGGGTGGGAATGTTCTGGCACTGGACGTTAGTAGCTTATTCCATAAATTAGATCAGAGGAGGATTAGGATTGAGCACAGTGATGATCAGATTAACCTGCAATGAGTCTGTAATATGAAGCAAACACAGCTGAGTATCTGCACTGGAGAGATGTTTTTATATTCAACTAATAAAGGGAAATTTTCTGCAATAAAACAGTCAAAACTTACAGAACTGTTGAAGTTTATTTTCACTGTCATGACAGAAAAGTGTAAAAGCTTAAGACTGACTTTACTGAATAAATCTGCAAGAGAAAAAGAGCATAATGCTGAAGTGGGAAGGCAAACAAATACGTAGGATTTAAAGGGGGAAATATTTGCATTCATTGAAATTATATCTGCTCATTTGAGATTTAGCATCAACAACAAATCTCTAAAAAGTCGTTCCAGGATTGTGTTTCTTATTTTGTGCCATCAGCTCTTCTTTTACCAACACTCTGTAAACTTTAGCAAACCTTGAAGAAAAATTTCTGGAGTTTGGAAAGTGAAAAATTGTCTCATTCTTACCTGACAGAGGATTTCAGCTGCTCAACACTCAACACATTGATTTTTTGAGTCATGATGCTCCCAATGTTTTCAGTTGGTGACAAGTCAGGACTGCAGGCAGACCGGTTTAGCAGCAGGACTCTTCTACTACAGAGCCATGCTGTTGTGATACCTGCAGAATCTGGTTTGGCATGGTCTTGCTGTAATATAAAGGTCTTGGTTTAAGGAACTACCTTTTGTTCTGTGTGTTTTTCAACTATTATCTTATTTCTTGAGGTTGCCTCCTTGACTTAAAGTCTTAATATATCAGCTTTATTTATCATAGTATTGTTTATATATTATCTATTTAGTTTATATATCAGATTTATTCTGCTTCTTTAAACTCTCAGGGCTCCACAGCACTGTTCTCTCTGGCCTCCTGGTGACCTCACATTAACACCTGTTATTTACCTGCTGAGACCTGCTGCTGTCTTCTACTAAGTGACCACAAGGGGGCGGCAAAAACTAAAGAACACAAACACCTCACAGGAGCACAAGCTGTAAAAGTGCAAGGTCTCATGTAGAGTGCAAAGCTTTGGGATTTTGAGATGTTTAGAGATGAAGCTTTAGTTACATAAGATGATAAAGCTTTTTTTTTTTCAAATGTGGGTCACAAGACGTATTTCTTCATTCAGTTCTTCATCTTGTGGCATCAGACTGCTCTCTTAGCGAACAGCTCCTTTACTATCATCTCCATCTTAATCATACAGGCCTGGTTAGTCAGAGCTTGCAGGAAGGAGTTTGCGGTTTTTGTCGCAGTAAATCTGTTTTATTGTGGCAACAGAAACATCTGATGTGCAGAAAACTCTGTTGTTTGCTTTAAAAGGGAGTCAGAGGAGTATCATGAATTATCAAATGATCTACAGCAGCTTATCAGAGTTGGACTCTTGATAACACAGACTATTAAAAACCAAAGTCCATCATCTAAACCACAGGTGTCCAACTCAAGGCCTGGGGGTCAAATCTGGCCCACAAGATCATATTTGTATTATTATTGACCCACCAGTACAAAGTCTGCAGATTTCCTCCAGTATAATAATGTAAACTTTAGCACCATTATTTAGAATATTCTTAATAAGCCAAAAAAATCTGGGAAATTAAAGAGTCAGGAAGATTTGATAGATGGTCAAGAATTTGGGAGAAAACAAATGGTGTTTTTATTTCATGTTTTCAATTGTGCATTTCAAGATTACAGGTCAAACAATTGGATTTTTTATTTCATGCTTTGATTTTGTTTAACTCAGTATTTAGACGTGTTATTTTTATACTTTAAATTTTAAGTCCTATTTTGAGCTTTTAAACCTGATTTCAACGTTCTCCTCGTGTATTTGCTCTTTAAAAGCATTATTTTTATATTTTTAATATCATGCTCTGATCATATTTCCCCCATTTTAGCCTCTCTTCACTGGCTTCCTGAGTGTTTTAGGATTGATTTTAAAATTTTGTTATTAACTTAAAAAATCTTTAAACGGGCTTGCTCCTTTTTTATCTCTCTGACCTTTTAAAACCCTAAATTTGATCTCGGACTCTCAGATCCTCTGACCAGTGCCTTCCAACTGTCCCTAGGTCAAGACTAAAGTTCAGGGGTGACCAGGCTTTGAACTAACAAATAAAAATAGAATAAAAAAATATACAAATAAGAAAATTTTTCCATCTCATATTGCCTTTAAGCTTATCTTTTTATCTATTTTGAATGTCCAAATGATTTATAATCATTGTTCTGTTTTTGTTACATGTGTTTTGAAAAGGAAGTTGACAGTTTTGGTTAAATGTTGACCCTGTTTAGCCCTCAGGTTAGACCGAAATCCAGATTATGACCCTCGCTGTGGTTGAGTTTGACACCCCTGATCTAAACTCTCTAACTCTGCTCCTAAAGGAGGTCAAAAGTGATGTCTGTGTGCAGGTTGAACCCTCCCAGGGGCTTCTCCTCTCTCGGTGGGCGGAGTCAGGAGGGAGGGGGCCTGCCCGGAGCTTTAATACAGATGCGCCTCTCTGCGCGCCCTGCGTTCAGCGGTGGACAGAGCAGACTGCACCATGACTGCACCCAGCAACACCTACGATGTGATAGTGGTCGGCGGAGGGATATCAGGTAAGATCTCAAACTTTCCTCTTCCCTGCGGTTTTTTTTTCTTCCTGTGTGTGCGGAGGGAGCGGGGATGATGGCGCAGCGCGGGGCGGTGATGCGCTTCGTGTGTTCCGAGCGGAGCAGACAACTGTTGCGCGGAAGCTGCTCGTGTTGTTGTAGCTGATCTGCTGTCAGCTGTGGATCAAACACACTTTTCTCCTCTGATCGTGTTTTTTTCCTTCCTCTTCTTCTTCCACGTTTCCCCCCACACTCACGGCTCTTCCGTGAGTCCTCCCCTTCTCTCCCCGCGTGTGCACCGCTGTCTCTCCGATTAAATAAGAGCTAATCAGCCGGAGCAGAGTTTGTCTTACATAAGAAGAGGGGGGGATGATTTCAGCTGGTTGCAGTTTGGACGTGTGTGTGTAAATCTTCCCCCTCGTCTGTCTGTGTGTGTGTGTGTGTGTGTGTGTGTGTGTGTGTGTGTGTTTACAGAGACTGTGTCAGGTCTGAGTTTGAACTCTCCATGTTGTCTGTCTGTTTGTGTCTGCAGCAGCAGCTGTGTAGTTCAGGATGGAAAGGTTACATGTTTGCATGAAAATAACAAGCTGATTAGGAGAGGAGAGCGTTTCCCCTTCACCACAACAACATGAGGAGTGCATGTGAGGAAAGGGGGGGGGGGGGGGGACTTTGTTTCACATGTGAACACAGACTGTCTTGTTGAGCAACATTTATCTGAAGGATGGAAGGAGGGGTGGGAGGGTGGGGGGTAGTTCCTGGAAAGAGTCCCTAGAGTGGAGTATGGTGGTTGACACTGCTTCTACTTCTATTATGCACACCATTATGTCTGCATGAGTATGAACTTAAAGCTAGAAAATATGGAAAAATAAGCATAGGGTAGAGTGGGGTAAGTTGAGCCACCTCCTGTTTCTTGGAAATGATAAAAGAAATTGATCATGTGACCAAATATTTAGGAGATGGGCATCAATTCATGGAGTCTGTGAAGGTTAGAAGCACATGGGTGAAAAGGTTAGACATTTATTTCCAACAAAACAACATTCTTCACTCTTGAAAGTGAATTTAGTCTGTCATAAGTTTTATTAGAATTGTGTTCACACCAAAAAAGATCATTTTAAATTAACAACTTACCCCATACACGGGTAAGTTTATCACAGGAGACCACCTCTTTCTGTCATGCTATATTATCAAGACAGTTCTGTTTACACTCATTCTGTTGGTTTGCAGGGATGAACAACATTTTGAAATATATGCAGATACACTAGTTAGAGACAAAACTACGATTGACTTGATGTAGTGATCAGGAATATGAAAAATGGCTCATCTTACCCCATACCTAAGTTGCACAATAAATTCACTGATTTTGCAGAAATGCTCTTCAAATCTAAGTTTAATTTGAGGTAAACTTAAACGTTTAAGATTGTTTGAGCACATGGAGGACTCTGATGCAATGTCAGCGTTTTTGTTTGTTTTTGCAGCTTTAAAGCTGTAAAGTTGGATAAGTATTTGATAACGTGATAAAGTCACTTTCGAAGAACTCGGTGAGTTTGCATTTCAAGAATCCAAAAACTTTATTGATAAGCAGTGAATCCAGATGAAACATGTCTAAGAGATTTGTGTTGAGGAAACAGTTGGACCCTCAAGAGTCTAAACTGATGACAGAGTGAGTTTCTAAAAGGACCTTTCGTGAGAACATGATGGATTGTAAGGAGGAAGTTGTGGTGAATCCTGTGACGTTGAATTTGATGTGAACTTTATCAAAGTCCATCATCTACCTCTCTGTGACTCCAAACAAACTTTTATGTTTGGCAAAGTGGACAGACATCTCAAATGCTAACGCTGAAAGGCTGTATTGTGTTATGAACAAAATTTATAATCATTTCAAATTTGATTCCAGCAATTAGTTTCTTAAAAGTTGTTGGTTATAAACATGACTGGACATAAAAAGAGAGGCTGAGTCTTTCAGAAGGAATGATCAATAAAGGTTCACCATTCTGTTCGAGAGACTGTGCGAATTAAAAGTTTAACAACTCCAGACTAATATTCCTGAGTGTAAAATATCAAAGAATGAGTGGATTTCATCATCTGCAGAACATAAAATCATTAAAAGATTCAGAGAGTCTGGAGTAATCTCTGTACAAAAAGGACAAGGACCAAACCAATACTGGATGGTCCTAATCTTCAGGCTCTTAGGCAGCACTACATTCAAAACAGACAGGACTCTGTAGTGGAAATCCCTGTGCAGACTCAAAGTCACTTCGAGAAACCACTGTCTAACTAGCATTACAACAATTTCTCTCAGAGTTTTGTTGTCAGCATACCAACCTCTTTTAAACTTGTTGCTCATGTTGAAGTTTCCATATTTCACACTTAAAACAATATTAGTTTGCAGTTTTAGAATTTGATTTGTTGTCTTTACCCAGCTTCCACTCTATCCTGGTAACCCTGTAGTTGTAGAGTTGACTTGTCATTAAAAAACCATACCCTGGAGCCCACAGAAAGGATTTGGGCCACCAGTTTTTAATCCTTATTTTAATTTCTACGTCTGAATCTTTTCTCAGAGTTCTAATGTAAGGGTCAGAGTTCTGGAAAAATTGTTAAAAAAAAATCAGACAGTCAAACTCAAAAAGTCAAGAGTTAGAAATCTATGAAAAATCAGATCATCCATTGAAAAAACATTGATGTCCAAAATAATAGCACAAAAGAGGGTCACCAAGGGTGTAAAAAAGGGTGTAAAAACTCCCTAAGTGACCATGATTCTCTGTAAACATGGTCTATATGGCCAGATGTTCTCTGAATGGGTCCATTAGACTCATATACACTTTAACAGCAGGTTTGAAAAATACATGATTGTTTTAGGGTGTGGTTTTGTTTACATTTAAATGTAACCAAATCGAATGTAAACAAACAACAGGAGATATTCCATTATGACATCATCATGACATCATCATGACATCATCAGTAGTGATATAGTATTCGAGGAGAGCGGCTGTCCAGGGTAGGATCGTTTGAACCTTTCAGCGAGTGACTGCACTTCAAGAAACAGACAAGCGAATCTATTAGCAGCAGAACTCTAAGACTAGAAACAGTCAAAGACAATGTGGCGATCAAACAGACCAAGGTTGACTCGGACCTTCAACAGGAGGGACAGAGAGATCGGGGAGCTCCGCAGGAATACGAATCTGCTCGCTTTAGAGCTGAGGAGAGAGAGGGAAATCTGTGAAGAGGAGAGGAACCTAAGACTTCTGCTCAGCCTGAAGTTGGAGGAAACCAAAGACAAGCTGGTCTTACAGAAGAATCACACGAAAAGGGCTTTTGACAAATGGAAGGAGACCCAAAAAGAGCTGGACATGCTAAAAAAGCACAGCTCAGAGGAGGCCCTGTCCAAACACAGGATTGCTCTGAAGGTGAGGGACAAGAGCAAGAGGATGAAGAGGAAAGATCTTCATGATCATTACGAGGAGCTAAAGGCGGCACACAATGAGGAAATTAAGAAGATCACTGCACAAGTTGAGGGTATGACTAAAGACTACATGGCACTTTCTGAAGAACTGGGCGAGATAACCATCTCATACCGCGAGCTGAGCTCCAAGTATAAAAGTCACCTCACTTCTGCGAGACAGCAGGTAGAGACTCTTCAGCGTGAGCAACAAAATCAGGCTCACCTTGAACAGACCATCCAGAGTCTGAGAGCCGAATTGGACGCTGTGCGTCTGAAAATGACAGAGGAGACTGCTTTTCTGCAGCAGACAGCTTCTGAAACTGAGAAGAGATACAGGACTGAGCTGGAGGAGCTAAAACAACAGCTCCAAATCCAGAAAGCCAGTATGATGGACTCTGATGAACTGGTGGAAACTACAGGACCTGCAGAAATAACCACATCAAATACCACCAAACCACCACCTTCAGTCTGGAAACAAACCAGATACTTCCTGAGGTCAAGAAAGCTGGAGAAGTGGAAAAAAAAACAATTTCATTCAAGTTAAAAAGAACTTGAAGTAAAAAAAAAAAAGCTCTCCAAAATACCTTTACCCTAACCCATGGGTGGGTTTTTGCAACAAAAAAGAAAGAAAATAAAAATGAAAAAAAAAATAAAAATAAAACCCTTGTGGTTTTTCCCTCCCATGGGAGGGTTTTTAATCCCCCTCCTCGAGCTACCACCTTACCGTGGTGGAGGGGTTTGCGTGTCTCATTGATCCTAGGAGCGATATTGTCGGGGGCTTTATGCCTCTGGTAGGATCACCCAGGGCAAACAGGCCCTGGGGTAGGGACCAGACTAAGCGTAGCTCAAAAAGACCCCTTATGATGGACAAAATATTTGGCATCAAGTTTCCCTCGCATGGATGTGGGGCAACACATCATCACAGTTAGCGCCAAACACAACACTCTTTTGTGCTATTATTTCGGACAACAATGTTTTTTTTTGAACCCATATGAGCTCAGGATGATTTGATCTGATGATCTGATTTTTCATAGATTTCTAACTCTTGACTTCTTGAGTTTGACTGTCTAATTTTTTCTAACAATTTTTTTCAGAACTCTGACCCTTACACTCTGTCAGAACATTTATGATCATTTTTTTGTCATCGCCTTGAAGTAATAATCACCATATTAATCATTTTGCACTGCAGACGTAGTAGTTCTTCTGCCTCAGCGTATCGGTCTGATTACATTTCCATGAAGAAATGATCATAAATGTTCTTCCTTGAGCTGCGTCACCCCGCTGTAGTCCATAATGGACTGGCTTGAGGTCTCTGTTCAAACAAGCAGCTGCTGGAAGAGAGTAGGTGGGTTGTGTTTAGTCAGCAATGTTAATCTCTCGACGTTTTACAGTGTGTTTGACCCTAATTTAATTTTACGCCCAAATATCCCTTAAAACAACATTATCAGGTGTGCAGACAAGCTCTCCGTCAGGATGTTTGACCCTCTGTCTGACCTCCGTCCCTCCTCCTCCTCATCTTCTCAGACTGATGGATCAATCTGCTGCCTGTCTGCACGTCCATCAGAGCCTGATGTAGGTCAGGTGTTGTCAGGACAGATCACTCTCTAACAAGACAATATTTGCTTCAGAAACGAGTAAATCTAATAAATCTGACACGCCGCCGCCCCGCTGGCCGCCCCCCTCTCCTCTTGTGTCACATTAGGCTCCTTTAATTACACCATCAGTTAGAGCTGCTGCCCTTTACTGCCCTGCAATGAGCTCCACATATAACAATCAGTGTCCAACTAAAGGCCAGATGACACAAAAAAAGGACAGAGAGCTCTTCATCTCCTCCTCCTCCTCTTCTTCACCCTCCTCCCCTCCTCTCCCCACACGTCTCTCTGTTCGCCTGCAAATGTGATTGTCATTTTTCTGCCGCCCACATGGCAGCACGGCGGTCCTTAGCAGAGCACTTTCTGAGGAAACATTAAACACTTGTGACAGCCTGTTATCAAACCAGCAGCAGAGAGGAGGAGGAGGAAGAGGAGGAGGAGGAAGAGGAAAGCACTTCTTCCTGTTTTGCTGAGCAGCTGTGAGTGTGGGAAATCAAACAGGGCCGAGAGAGAGAGAGAGAGAGAGGGAGAGGAGGAAGGAGGCAGAGATATGAACGTCTTAGAATTCAGGAAGCGTGCGTTTGCAGGGAGAGTAAATAAGGAAGAGGAGGCGGCTGAAAAGAAGAATCAAAGCTCTGAAACACTCACAGCATGAAAAAGTAAAATGAAAATAGCCTTTTGATGTCCAGACCTCTGGGTTCACGCTCAAGTAGCAATACTGCAAATGATTTATGGAACCTGGCTGCATGTGCACGACTGCAGGCCTGTGCAGGGTTCTTCCTCTGCGCACATCTTAAACAGAGAAATATGCAGAAAATATCAAAATAATGAATTTAAGGAGAGATTTGTTGTAAATTTTTGTTGATTTTGCAGAAGCACACCCTAAAAGTTTAGCCCCTCAAATTATTAAAGGGATATTCCAACGTAAAATTAAGTGAGGTTTAAACACACCATAACACAAAGTTAGACCCTTTGCTTCTCTAGTTTTACCAACTGAAGTAACAACCACATGACAGCAATACAGTGAGCCATGCGCTTAACCAAAACGCCACTCTATAGCCACAAATAATGCTCAGAATGACACCTAACTTCATCAACAGTACATATAGCGTCCCAGCCATAGTACTAGCCACCAAACATCTTTTTAACTTTGTCTGATTTCTTGTTTCACACAAATCACCCACTCTCTTCCAGCAGCCGCTTGTTTGTACAGAGACCTCAGGTGAGTCCATTGACTGCTGCAGGGTGCCGCAGCTCAAGGAAGAACATTTATGATCATTTCTTCATGGAAATGCAATCAGACTGAGACGCTAAGGCAGAAGAACTACCGCGTCTGCAGTGCAAAAATGATTAATATGATGATTATTACTTCAAAGAAATGATAAAGTTATGATCATAAGTGTTCTTCCTTGAGCTGCGGCACCCCGCTGCAGTCGATGGACTCGCCCAGAGCGGCTGCTGGAAGAGAGTTGTGTAGGAGCTGTTCTGAGCATTATTTGTGGCTATAGAGTGGTGTTTTGGTTGAGGTTTGTTTATGGCTTCTCAGACCGCTGTGTATTGCGATCGTGTGGTCGTTACTAAAGTTGGTTAAACTAGAGAAGCAAGCAGTCGGCAACATCCATCTCTCAAGGGGGTGTCTAACCCGGTGTTATGGTGTGTTTGACCCTAACTTAATTTTACGCCGGAATATCCCTTTAAGTTAATCATGCATTTGTTTATTTTGAGCAGAAGTAAACAGCACTCAAATCATGTGCACATCTTTTCGTTTTATAGAAATAAAAAAGTCATTAGATTATAAATAATGTTACATTATATAATTAGAAAAATATAAAAATATCTGCAGGTGTAAATATCCACTGTGAAGCTGATGCATTAATTATGTGCACACCCTGACCGCTCACATATGCTGGCTGTATGGATGACATATGTATGCAGACAGACAGCAGAAGCATTACTGACTGTCTGTTCTTGAAAAAAAAGGTATTTATAATTTACAGTCAAGTCAGTATTGTTTGTCTTGTGCTGTGTTTGGCTCAAAGAGAAACTCTGCACTTTTTGCAAAGATAGAAAATAGATGTGATTGTTTTAGTATAAGTATGCGTTCAAAATGAGTTTGAAAATATCAGCAGAAATCCAGTATAGTGCACGTAAGTGTCTGCTAACTTGATAGAGTAGTCTCTTTAATGTTACCAGTCCAAGATGTAATATTTCAGACCCTGTCTAACCTTTCATATAAAAGTCAGAGCTGACAAAGAATCAAACACATTTAGCAACTGAGCTGAATCAGAGAAGAGGAGTGAAGAGGAATCAGTGCTAACAGCAAATGATAAAACGGACAGTAATGTAACAAAAGCAACAGAACATACTGAGGTATAAAAAGTGTTCAACATGCTGAGTATCAACATGTGGAGCAGACTCACAGAGAGCAGTCACTCAAGCGCAGAAGTTAAAAAAAAAGTTTCTCAGGATCTGGATGAAAGAAAAAGTGGAAAACAACCTCAGCCTGGGACAGTTCTGCAGGAATTCAGCTGCAGTGTGAGTGTGGGCTTTAATATGAAACATGTGTCTCTGTTGAACCAAAGACAGGAACATTATCTAACTTAAATCCACTGTTACAAAATGTGAGAATTTTAGTAAAAAGTGCATAAAAAAGTTACAATTCCTGCAGCAGAGTGGGTGCAAAAATCTGCTCAGATATAAAATAAGATCTGTTTTTTGTAGCTTTACTTACAAGTGCACCAAAGTATAGTTAGATTGATGTTTATTTCAAACACTAGAAGAATGGATCATATGTTTTTTACATCTCAGAGAGCAGATTAGGACATCCTCTTCACCAGGAGAAAATAAATGCGATGTCCTTATGATGGTTCCTGTAAATGCTGCTCTGTGTGCAGGACGCAGATGTAAAAACAGTAATCAGAGAAGATCTGACGCCCTCCCTCCCTGCTGATGCTCTGACCTTTCACATGTTTGTTCAGTAAATGTCACCCTGAAGTGAGGAGGCTCCTCCTGCAGAACACGCAGACGCTCTGATGCTGTTATTGTGTTAATCGAAGTGAGTAAAGAGGTGTTTGCTTTGGACATACTTGTGTGTGTAACAGCTCTGAGGTCTTGTGAGGACGTGCTGGCTGCTCTGTATAAACTTTTTTGGCGTGTTTTGAAAAGCAGCTGTGATTTATACTTTCAAACAAAGTCGTATGAAATGAAGCAATGCTGCAGTGAACTTGAATCTGCAGCATTCATCAATCATGCACAGATTTATTCTGAGGGAGTTTGGTCTCATTTTCCAGCCACACACACATATATCTGTAACTCTGATGCGTGTGTGTTTCTCAGTCATGGCTGCTCATCTCTTTTGACTTGTAATCTGATTTCTCTCTCTTAAAAGACACAAAAGCTGCAGCACTTCATTCTTATGAAGCAGCACCATTCACTCGCCCTCCTTCCTTTCAGTGAAGCTCAATGGAAACTGTTTCACAATTTCTTGTCAGTCCTCCAGGAAAAGATGTCCCCCTCCTCTTATCTCCATGCACTTAAATGAACCCTGTGTTCACTGACGGATCAACACGGCTGCAATCCTAGAAAAGTCTCCTCCTGTCAGTCAGCTGTGCAAACAAACAGGCTGCAGGTTAAATTCATGAGAAGTGAGCGGCTGTGATCTCAGCTGTTGTTAATCATATTAATGGTGGCACTTATTACATAAAAACACTTAAAGCTGATGAATGGTTGCACAACACAGAGCGTTTTTTTCTTTGTGATGCTCGGAGTGAGGTCGCTACACGAGCCAGATGTTTTTCAGGAATTCATTCCTGTGTCCACTTCGATCATCTCTCTGAGAGTCAAAGACCCACTCCGATGAAGATCATGTTTTTCTTGTTGTCTGCATGTTTTTATGGCATTTTTCTGATGCTACAGGACATATCATGAGAAACACACTGGGACCGTTTTTGTCATGTGATTATTTCGGACATCAATATTTTTTTTCGAACCTGTATCCTGTCAATACAAGCGTTCACATCAGTGACATATTCCCGTCCTGCGATATTACGGCATTTATTTTTTCTGATCATGGTTGATTTTTCTAAAGTTTCGCATACTGTGTGTCCACTTCTGACCAATCAGATTGCGTGTCGTTGCAACGTCAGATTCACCAGTATATCCAACATGGCCGACCTGCTGATTGTTTACGTGTCAGGGAACAGAGTATTTTATGATAAAAAAAACACAAACATTCCAAAGATAACGACCTGAAGGACAACTTGTGGAGAGTCATAGCGTCGGATTTCTCATATGACGATAGTTTGTGTGCTTTAACAGTTTGCTAAACATCTTTGTTTTAACTTTCATCTTGTGCTAACGTAAGCTAACGGTTGGTACCATACTTTCACGTGCTTATCTTATCGCCTCTGATTGGCTATAAAATGACACAGATAATGTGATTTTTGGTTAAAAACTTAATAATCACAATTTAAAGACCACTGAGAACACTTTAAGTAGTAAAAAGATGGGAGTGGGACTTTAACTTCAGTGTTTGCACGAAGTGGAAATACTTCTTTATTGGGAGTCCAGGTAGCTCACCTGGTTGAAGTGAAAAAATGAGCGTCTACTTTTCATCAAACAACAACGTCTTAATGTTGTTCATGCACTGTTTCCATTTAAACATAGAGTTTACATGTTTTGCAAACCATAAGATCGTTTTATCAACTTTTCCACAGGATCCAAACTTTTTCAGAACTGCAGTTTTATTCTCCTGTCATTGAGATGATAATAAAAACTTAGTGTACCGTTGTAAAAGGACTATAGAAAAGCCTGACAATGCAGAAACGGACTCATTCAGGTAATGTAGTCTAACTTTTTGTAGCTTTATACACCAGAGGGCAGTTTATAACTGCACCATATAACTTCAGATGTATGCAGTCGTGCATCATATGCATCAGCTGAGAACAAACTCCAGCACATATACAGCCTTTCTGATTTTGTTTGACTATGAATGGAAATAAACAGTACAAATGTTTGGCCTTGTAAGTGTTTTTCTTATCTTTTGGCAGAAATATATTCATCCTACACTCTCTGTCACTTTTTCAGATGTGTTGTTGGGTCATCTTACTCTGGGCTTAACCTTGAAAACACCTTACAGGCTGTTGTTTTGTCTCCATGTAAACAGAGAATAATCATTACTCCAATCACTCTGCTGTCTTCTCTCCTTCACGTTTGAATCCCATCATCCTCTGATTATTCGTCAATATTTCTCTCCTCCGCTTGTCGCTCTTAAACGTCCAATCAGTGTTTCCGTGTGAGGACACGAGACGGGGAAATGCGATTGCTGCTCGGGATCGATTCGCAGCCTTTCAGGGCCTGATTCAAGAGCTGCACCTCTCACTCAGTGGGTATTGGATTTTTGGTTTGTGTTCCTGTGAAAAGAACATTTCGCTATAAGATATAATAACAACAAAGAAGAAATCAAACGCAGAACAAGTCAAAAAGGATGGTGTGAAGCAGCTCTGCATCAAAATGAATCGTCTTAGACAACTGGAAAGCAGAGAGAGAGAGAAGTCTGAGAGTCGTAAACTTTATCAAACCTGCAAACAGCTGCAGAAATGAGATTGATCCTGCTGTAACAGATGGATTTCCACTCATTATTTGAACTCAAATGAACATTAATGTGGGCTACAGCCAGCTGCAGATACTTCTAAACCACTTTACGCAGAAATGTTGCCATTTTAAAGGAACAATCCCCAATTTATTATTTTAAAAAATCCTTTTTTCTAATTCTGCAGAATCTGCTCATCCACCGTGTTGCATTCAAGGGTCATAGAAACTTGTGCAACTGTGTGTTTTCATGTTAAATTACAGTGGCAGGGAAGAGAGTCAGTCCAGAAACAGTGGGGGGATTTCTGAACACACACACAGACACACACACACACACACGCAGAAAGACAGAGTATACAAATACAGTTTGTTCCTGCCAAGTGGCTTAATCTTAACAATTACTGTTGTCAAGGAAACCGTGTCTTTCCCCTTTCTATTTTACTGCACAGAGGGCAGAAGATGAGTGTGTGTTAGTGTGTGTGTGTGTGTGTGTGTGTGTGTGTGTGTGTGTGTGTGTGTGTGTGTGTGTGTGTGCGTTTGCACTATGAATCTATACAAATGCATCAGAAAATTAAGTCAATCAAATCTTGTCAGGTAAAGAAAAACAAACATCTGTATCCTTCAGCTTGAGAGTAAAGCCTATTAAATAAAAACACACAGAAAGGTTTTTTATTAATTGATTGATAATTGATTTCTAAGATCTCAGAGACATTTAGGTCAAGCAGAGCCTGGAGGAGCTGCAGGGGGAGGAGAGGGGGAGTGTGGAGAAGCCAGAGGAGAAAGAAAGGAACAAAAGAGCAGAGAGAAATGAGAGTAATTTAATTTTCATTGTCTGTTATTGATTTTAATGCTGCTGCTGCAACATCTGCTGCAATTTAGAACAATGAAAAGATCAAACTAATATTTAAAAAAAATAAATAACTTGATAAAATGTCATGAAATGTAGATGATGAATGGGAATTAACTGCATTTTTTATTACGTTTGAAATTAAATCTTTGCATTTTTAGAGAGATTGAACTTAGAGCTGTCCACTTTCTTATTAGCGCTACAGTCGATCACATTTTGCTGCATTGCATTAACTATAGCTGCATGAACTCCTGCTGCTTCTCAGAGGTTAGATATTTCCTCCCTGCACCCTTCACTCACCCACTTTATCTCCTTCCTCCTTAAATGCATCTACACTAAACCAGAGAAGAACACTGCTGAATGCTCTCCAGCTGCGAGGATGTGTTTGTTTGATAAATATCGGACATGATGTCTTTGGGTTAAATAACAGAGGAGAGAATCAGGCTCAGGGGAGGAGGAGGAGGAGGAGGAATCTGTGTCCTCTCTCTTTGATTCTCCAGGCTCTGACCTTTTTCCTCCTTGTTTAATCCCTTTAGGCACACTGCTGCTGCCTGTAGATTGAATAGAGATGTTGTGCATACCGTTATTTTCTGTTACCTAATTCTTTAGGTTCAGTATGTCAACCTGCTGAAGTCTGATAGATCGCAGACTGCATCTGGTTAGTGTCACAGTGAACGATTGTGAGGTGTGTGCATGCGTATGTACTGTAAGTAAGCAGCAGAAGAACATTGAGAGACAAACAAAACTGCAGGAAAAAAAAACTGGTGGAATTTTTATAAACTCAAGGTCCAGATTTTCAAGTGTCCACTAGAAGCTGTCTCCCAAAGAGATGCAGTCCTTAGAGAGCTCCGTGTCAACACTTCACAGTAGAAATAAACAAGATTAAGGCTCAGTGCAGAAACAGGTCTCTAGGCTCGCATAGTTAGTTAGTTTGTTCACATTATGCAGCCGTTAAATCTTTAAAATGCATCCATCAAAAAAGGTAAAAAGAGTGTAAGAGTTATGCATACATTTTCCTCTTTGGGAGCAGGGTTTCCGACATGATGTGCTGTTTTTGTAGCCGTTATATTTTGTATATCATGAGTGGTGAAGGGACATGCGTGGGTTTGAGGAAGAAGAGAGTTGTTGTTGTGAGCAACGAACTTGTGTTAAACTATGATTAAATGGTCAAAACTTGACAAATGATGGAGCACGCATGTTTCACTTATTCCCACAATAGTTTCACTGATGGGAGAGGTGAGCAAGGGAATCTGACCATTAGATATAACTAAATATTCCCACAGCTGCTTCTTTTAACTTCTGTCTAAACTTTTAAAACTTTTTTTCATTCTTCTTTAACTTTGTCTATTATTCTCATTATATTGGTGCTGGAAGTTTTGCCTCTGTTTTTATTGTCAAGTTATTGCTTTTTATGATGATCTGATGAATTCATGCACTAAATTCCTTAAAGTCTGACATAAACGAGGTTATATTTGATCATTAAACTCAAGAAATGGAAATCAAAGTGCTTCAGTAGAAATCCCTCTTCATTTTCAACCTAAAAGCATCTCAAAATAAAACTTTTTGTTTATCATAAACTTTACTTGTTACATATAAATATAAACTTTTTTACTTATAGGTTGAGATTTTCTCCTTACAAAATACTTTTGAACTAATTAATTAAAATAAACAAAAAAGAAGTGCAGATGGCAAGATTTCATGGCAGGACGTGACTGGTTAGTATGTTGATCTTGAAACTGGAGATAAAATAGTATATAGGCTGTGTCTGGTTAAACTAGTTAAACTTGTTTACCACCTCTTGACCAGAGCGAAGAATAACAGGCATGTGGACGTTAACCTGCGAGGAGAACTAAAGACTAGTGGTGCTAGCTCTGCTGATGTTAGGCCACACACTGTGAACTAATTTGTCATTATTTACCGGAAAACAGTTTGACAATTGTGCAGAATTTGAATTTCTTTTTCAGAACATTCACTTTTTAGACACTGAGTAAAAATCTGAGCTTCTAGATGACAAAAATATAAAAGTTTAGTGGAAAGACTTTGATCCTGTTGCAGCTATGACAGCCTCTTTTGTGGCTCTCGTCTAAAAAAGCAGTTTCAAGTCTTTGAAAAGTTAAAAACAGTAAAGTTTCCCTGAGAAAGACGGATATATAACAGTTGAATTCCTTCAGTTTTATGAAAATAATTAAACATCTTCCTCGTGTGTCTTGTTGCTGCATGAACAGAATCTCTTTGTTAAGAAACCGTCTCTGCATGTTGATTTTTCCAGCTAATTCCTCTTCTTTGTTTCACAGAGGTAAACAACAGAGGGAAGCTTTGAAGTGCTGAAACCTCTATACAGATCCATTAGTCATATTTATACAGCACTTTGTGTAGAAATAATGTTTCTATGAAGAAGATCAAGCCTGTGATCAAAGCCCCGTCCCATCAGGACTGTAGTTTCTGCAGTGATTGCTGTAGGCGTAAACAGCAGCTGCAGACAGACTCTCTTTGTTTTGAAGGCGGACTCTGACCTTTGGAGCTGAGTGCAGGTAATAACATCAATTTAACGGAGGAAGATTCGTGATCCCCCTCTAGTCCGGGCTAATGCGTCCTCAGAGTCCGTCTGGGTGGTTATGTTTGTACAGGGAGTTCAGTAATGTAGGACAAACTATGTGTAAACTTCTATAAACCTCGGCAGCTTCGGCAGAGCTTAGCAGGATCTGGAAGGAGAGGAGGTGAGGAAGAAGAGTCGAGAAGCGGGGGGAGAGGGCCAAGAAAACATTTGCACAGATGTGAGAACCTGAAGAGAGAAACTCTGAAGTTCTCCTGACGTCTTCAGCTTCATCAAACCTGATTAAGACCAAAGATATCGCAAACCCAGTGAAAACAAACTGAGCACCTATCAGCCCAGGCAGTCCTGTTCCCTGAGGAGCGTCTGAAAAACTGATTCATGGAGTGTAGCTGTTTAATTCATTTATTAATTTACCTTCTGCATGCCTCTACAATTAGTAACAGTGAGCTCATTATCAGAGGAGTTATTAGATCTTTGTACGAGCAGGATTCATGCTAACAGGCTCAGTGATGTTCAGTCTTCTCCACAAACTTTTGCGCTGTAGAGTATCAGCAGTGAGAGGTCTCTATACAGTAAGAGCTCATCTGTATCTTCTGTAAATCTCTCTTTTTTTCTCTCTTTGTGGTCTCTGCCGCCTGACAAAGTGCAGTGCTGTTCGGCCATATGCTGCACACTAATCCTCTGCATTTGTTTCTCCTCGCCTAAATGCATTTACGTTCTGTCTTATTGAATCACGCTTATGAGAAGGATTGCCCGAGGTCAGTGTGTGAAAAGCTCTGCGGTCGGTCAGTCGGTGGATATGAGATTCAGGCTCCTGTCTCGGCTCTGACCTCTGTGTTTGCTCACATGATCAGCAGGTCAGCTGCTCGCTGGTTCTCAGTGCATGCTTAGACCTCATATACCCACACACCCACACACACCACTGTTTTCCTAAGCCTCTGTGTATGCACAGGTCACTCAAAAGGCAAATGTTAGGTTCATAATCTGCTTCTTTATCCTATTCGAAGAAAGATCTGTGAGTGGAAAAAAAACACATTTTCAGCCACTGTAAAAAGTCTGATTTGAGCATTGAACCGTAGAAATGAGCAGCTCTGTGTCAAACAGTCACATTTAAAAGAGTCAGTTTTATACTCCAGCTCACAGTGATCATGCACAAACAGTAAAGTCATCTTGCTATGTTTAGTACAGGAAGTGCATTACATTTGACAGTACCTCTATTTCTGTTTCTATGCAGGTTTGAGTGCAGCGAAGCTGTTGAGAGCCCATGGACTGAGTCCAGTGGTGCTGGAGGCCAGGGACCGAGTTGGAGGTCGAACCTTCACTGTGCGGGTAAGACAAGAAGGACACTTAATAATAATAATAATAATGATAATAATAATGATGATGATGATGATCATGATAATGGTGATGTGTTAATGATGATGATAAAAATGATGATGATGATGATGATGATAATAATAATGATGATAATGATGATAATGATAATGGTGATGAGGATGTGTTGATGATGATGAGGATGATGATAATAATAATAATAATAATAATAATAATAATAATAATGATGATGATAATAATAATAATAAAAATAATAATAATAATAATGATACATTGTATCTGTAGTGCCTGTAGTAGGCTCACTGAGTGGGACCTGTATGCATAAAACTTGCTTCGCATATGTGGTGGCTAAGACAAAAAAAGTCTCTTATTGTCATGGTGAAACCCCAACAGGAAGTTCCATGTTGAGTTTTCATTCCACCGCGTTTTTGTCCGTTTACAGCGGTGCATATTTGCCCAAGCTAGGTGTTTCCCTGGCAGCTCGTCAAACTTCAGTGTCTGGCTATAAAACAGGAAGTCATCGTTTTGCCTTCATTTAGTCTTTGATCAATTTGAAATTTTATCAAGGTTCACCCTCAAACATATCTATGTATTGATCTCTCTGCTACAATCATAGCGCCACCCTGTGAGAATACATATTACCTGCTTTTATGCACAAGAAGCAAAAGAACTTTATTGATCCCCGAGGAGAAATTCAATGTTTCTTCTGCTTGATTTTTGTTTCTTTTTCAGAACAAGGAAACAAAATGGGTCGATTTGGGCGGAGCTTACATCGGCCCAACTCAGAACCGCATCCTCCGATTGGCCAACGAGTACGGCATTAAGACCTACAAAGTCAACGAGCAGGAGAACCTGGTGCATTATGTCAAGGTGAGTGTCTCAGCCCTGCATGGTCTTTGAGATGCCGAGGATTGTCTGCAGAGGTCTTTTTGAGTTACAGATTTGCTTCAGATGCATTCTTCAGTTTGCATTGAAACCGTTTTTTTATGGATCTCTCAAACATGTGCAGTCTGAGCCATTATCTACAGACAGTAAATCCTCATCTTTAACAATCTCCTGCCATCATTCAGCAGTCCATTGAGGCATTAAGTGACTTTCCATTATCTACTAACGGCTAAATCTGTGACTGAAAATACAAACGTCTGGTTGTTCAGCGAGGTTTCTGGAATTCAAAACAATAAGAAAATATTTTTTAGTTTGCCTGGAAAAAAAAAAAAACACTGTGCAACAAGTCTCTAGACAGACTCTCTACCCACATATAGACAGTTTTTGATCTGTTGTTCAAAAATCTGTATTTTTTGCATGTAAACCACAAGATTCAGCTTTGTATTTGGTTAATTCTTGCGGTCTGGATAAAACTGCATGATAGAATACAGTTCAGCATAAAAACATCCCAAACCTGATTTGCACCTTTTTATCAGCAGTTTCTCTCCCTAGAAACAGGTATTTGAATGCAAGGTTAGCTAACATTCTAGTTCTAGTTAGTCAGAGAAATGCCTCAGTATTACTGACTATTCACAGTAAAACTGAGACTCAGCAGAGACAAATAAACCAAGGCTGGTGGGCAGCCTCCATTTGACCTCCTGTCTACAGTTAAAGGGATATTCCGTCGTAAAATTAATTTTGACCCCAACTTAATTTTACGACGGAATATCCCTTTAAGCGGAGACTCTGCACAAATAGATTGACGGTTAGCTGGAGTGAAGCCTCTGTGTAACTCATTGTTTACAGTGAAACTGAGACTCAACACAACAGATATACAGCCAGCCAATGTAAACCCTCTATTCAATTTACCATCCACAGTGAAGGTAAGACTCTGCACAGATGAACAGTGAAGACTGAATGTAAGTCCTTGTAATTCCTTGGATTGGGCGCTATCAAACTAGACTAATGATGGGTCGTCAGCCAATGTCAAGATTCTCAGTTGCAGCCGTTTGGTTGATTTTCATGTGCAGCGAATTAGTGGAATTAGCAAGATAACATTTTTACAACCTGTCATGAAAGGTGTTCTTGCTGAAGAGCGTCAATCATCAGGGCCAAGGATCTGCTTTGGAAATATGGATAATTTTGGTGCATTTGCCCATTAGCAGCTGAATGCATGTTTCCATCACAGATATATCTGCTCAGATCTGCATTTGACCCACTTGACGGTAAGAAGAAGTGACAGCTGAGTTTAAATGCACTGTCTGGATTTGGAGCTGGGTTTTCATTCAAGCTTCGGTCACTGTGAAGAATACGGTCCATTTCTGCTTTCCTGTCGGTCCTCAGACTCGCTCAGAGGATAACAAGATACCCGGCTTCTGAGCATCAAACACTCTTCCTGTGCCGTCCTACATGTCTGCCGAGCAGCAGGCCACCCCTCTCCTCCTCTGCAGCATTAGCGGCTGGAGATGCTAATCTGAGCCTGAGGGTTTTCTGTAATGTGGTTTCTCTTCTCTGAGTGGTTGAAAGGACGGCACAAACAAACAAAGGAAGTAGGAGAAAGGCTGCTTTTTGTTCTTCCTGCATATCTTGTTAGTGTGGGTGCACCGCTGTCCTTAACAGTGTTTAGTTCCTTTACCTGATTTGATTTTACCTATACTGCCTCATACCCTGCTCGTACTAACTCTACTGTAAATCACAGGCCTGCTTGAAGTGGCCGAGAGCTTCCTGTGTGATTGTGAGAGGGCTTATCTCAAAACTTCAGTCACTGAATCTTACCCCCAGAGCTGGACTTTCAACCTCTAGCGAAGGGTGTGGACACGAAGTTACACAAACACACTTTCACTGCTATTTAAAGGAATACTCATTCCTGAAACACACACTCTATGTCAAACTAAACCCCGAACACAGCCGCATAAACCATGGAAAACCATAATCATAGTACTGTGAAGGCGTGAAATTAAAGATTACATTTTATGGGTTTATGAGGCTTGTTTAAATGTGAGACCAGTGAGGGATTATTAAAGGTGCACACTAGTAAATATTGGCGGCAGCTTTGTATAGAGGAGATTTCCACTCAGGGAGCAGAGTTAATACTTTTTTCCACAGCTGCTATTTGTCCTGAACTGCCCTTGAATGTACCTACGCTCATATAACTTCATTATCCAGCTTGACAACCAGCCTGAGTAAAACTATATAACAAGATTATAAAAGGAACAGATATCACCATCTGCAAGTGGAGCCAAATTTCAAAAACGGAGACTGTCTTTTTTATGTTTTAAGAAAGCTTATTTTGACACTTAAATACATGACAATAGTCTCTCAGTGGCCTCATAGGTGTCTTTGCTGAAGCATGTAAGCCTCCAAATAGCTTTCGGGCACAAAATGGCAAAAAGTCAGTGAGCCCAGTATTGAGCCCTGGGGAACACCAAGTTAAATTTGATGAAGGGACAGAGTTTTCACGCTTTTGACTGTGGAAAAGAAGCAAACTACCTGAAGCTTGCTCAGAGAAATTGAATTTGGACGACTACGACAAGAGGATGTTGTGATTCATGGAGATAACGCCTTCGTAAGGTTGTTCTAACTCAGCTGTGAACCCGAACTATCACAGAAGCAGTTTGTTAATTGTTACACTTTGCCCTCAGTTCTGGTTTTCTTCCTTATGTCATCTCAACATCATGCGGTTGACTCCTCTCCGGTCAGTGTGCCAGTCATCTCGCTTCTGTGTCCTTGGCTCTGCTGGTCTATTGACATGACCTACTTCTGCAGCGCTGTGAATGTCAGCAGCATGACGTTCAGCCCTGGCAGCGGTTAGAGAGTAAATCTTTGGTTTGGTGAAGGAAGAACTGGAAGAACTGTGAGGCCATACACACTCATGTCTAGGAGCTCCTGTGTGTGTGTCTCCTTAGCTACTATCTCTGCAAGATCCACTCCAAGGCCCAGAGTCACATACACACATGCAAACACACACACACACACACATCTCGTAGCTTCCTGGCGGGTTTCCATGGCAGCAGGCCTCATCAAAAGCTGCTCAGCCCTGTCGGTGTCAGACAGCGTTTTTGTCTGTTTCTTTTTGTGATTGTGTGTGCTTGTGTTCGCTAAAGCAGCTCTATTTCTGGTGTCAGTGATCCCACAGCTGACTTTGCAGAAATGCTGCCAAGATCTTCATTCCCAGACCACTCAGAGTCAAAACTGCATAACTCCACAGCTATCTAAAATCAACACTGACTCCTCTGTACATGTCAGCGTTTCTCAGTCTCATCCAGGTGAAATACCTGATAATTTCTTTGCCTACGTTACATAATAATGGTCACAACCTATTTAACCAGCAAAAACTCCCTCTGAACCTTGTGCCTGATGTCTTCCCAAACATTTAAAATGAATTTCTACGGTTCAGGTATGATTTTTTTCCATAGCCAAAGCCCTAAAAAGCTTAATGTTTGCCTGACCAGCATGGCTTCTGGTGCATTAGGGGACAACAGGTTTCATTTATCAGACGTTTACAAGGCGAGAGTCTAGGTTTAGAGTGTTGCTGTCAGGAATGATAAAGTGATGTGATCCTCATCAGCAGTAGGAGAGACAACAACAGCATTAATATTAAAGACAGAACAAGCCAGACTGCAGTGCACAGAAACTAATCCTGAGGTCCAGGAAAAAAGTAGGATCTCACTTTTTGACCATGCATGAAGAGAAGTGGGCAAAAATGATGTGTATTTACTAATAAATCAGTTTTTTTTAAAGGACAGGAGAGTGGATAGCAGGAAAATGAGCAGAGAGAGTTTGTAGTGAATGTGGGAAAGGAGCCAAGAGCTGGAAGTCAAACCAGGCTGACTGCTTGAGGCATAACCTCAGTATATGGGGTGAAGGTGTAGACCCCCAGGCCAGTGCCGCACAGGTGTATGCAACATTTAAATGAGCCGGTGTGCATTTATTTGCATTTATTATGCCCCTGACTTTGCCAACTAGCTTCATTGCAAAACCGCTGACATCCACTCTTGGGATGTCAGCAGTCGATACTTTAAGCTACTGAGATGCTTGACCCAGAGTAACCTGGTTGACGCAAATCCTTGGATTCAGCTTACAAAAATATTTTTTGCGATGAACATAACCAAATCAATTTTGCAATAGATATCTAACACTAAACAAACAAGGAAAATGCCGGCAGTTAAGGCCCTTCCGGGTCAAACACCTGCCCACAACAGTGACATGGCTACCTTTATTCCTGAGCCCCCAGATAACAGGACAGCGACACCCAAGGCACACAAAGTGAGCTGGAACTCATAATATGTATCACAGCAACATATTTGGCTTCTACAATGTACATTATGCACAATATGGTCTTTTTTCAGCTGCTTTTGCTCGCTTGGTCAAGGAAGTAAGCTGGATAAAAACTGTAAAATCACTGTCACATCTGTTATGAATCAAACTATACAATAAACCGGTGGGAACTTTTCTTCCATCCAGCTCATTTTATATGTCAGGACTCCATCAGGATTAGAGTGCACAGCAGAGCTCTGCGCATTAGAGAGTGGAGATGCTGACAGCTCATCTATTGCTGCGTTTGAGTTACCTCACAAGTCAGAAGACAAGATGGCTACATCTACGAAAGTTATTTTAGCGCTTGCCTTGTCTGAATATAAGCAAGGACAAGGCAAGCGCTAAAGTAACGTTCGTAGATGTAGCCATCTTGTTTCCACCTCTGATTTTGCTTTTTTTCAACTTGGTGCTGGTAACTCGGGTGAGCCGTCATTCCCAGCTCAGACATCTGACTTCCGAGGTAACTTGAACGCAACATAAGTCACAATAAAATGGAAAAATGGAGCAATCACATCTGCAATTTTTTGACATAGCAGAGAGTGTCTTGGAGTCTTGGAGATATTAGCAGCCGCAATCCATTCTTCACTAACATTTGATATTTTAGCCCAGCTGGAGAAAAGCAAGGGGGGGTTCAGTGTTACCACTGTTTCTTGACCGGTCAGTCACTTCTGTACCTGGACTTTTTGCTTTAAGTGTCACCTCCATTAAAATAACAATTAAATCTTGCTCTTTTCCATTTTAAGCAACACAGAGAAAAACTTTTCGTTCTGCTTCTCCAGTGGAAGTTTCAAAGAAGTTTCTGCCTGACAGTCACTTCATTGTGTTTTAATTGTCTAATTAAAACACAATGGAGGAGGCCTGAACAGCAGAGAACATTTGGAGTGATCCAACTATATGACAGTGTCTACATTACTTCACAGGACAACAGCTGAAAGTAAAGCAGCATGTGAGCTGAGCGGTTGTGTAATTAGAGCTAGCTTTCAAGCAATCCGCGTAGCTAATCAGCTTTTGTTTGGCAGATTGTAATCCAAAGGGCCGGCGCTGGTTTCCCTTATCAGCAAACTGCTGTCTAACAGACAGCTGCAGCTCTCAGCACAGGATTTATTAATGAGCTATCACTATCAGAGATGGGAAAACAGACTTTGATTAAATACTGTGCCCTTATCAGAGATCGAGGAGCCTGGGATTGTCCTGCCACGCCTGCAGCAGGGTGGATGTGACTGTTTGCACTAAGAACACAAGCAATCATTGTGCAAGCATCTTTACAACCATAATACTTTTCTGTTTTATTGATACTCCCTAATAGAGAGAGGGAGCTGTGGGGGGAACTACAATCTCCTTGATAATTTCATTCATTTATTTGGCAGCACTTAAGTAAAAGATGAGTGCTGTCTTTTTCTTGATGCTTTGTGCATGTGTTAGTTTATTTAGTTTAGTTTAATATTTCGAACATGTGCATGCAACACAAGAAAGTAAACTGAAAACAAACAAACATAACCAGTGAGAATATTCAAAACAACAATAACAATAATCCAAGCAAAAAGTAAAAATAAAAAATAAAAATAAAATATTCTAATAATAATAATGCGAATCCAACATGTCCGAAAAGGAGTAGAATGAAGCATTATGCTTTTTTAACCTACCCCTCTTCCTAATTAAACAGTCAGGGCTCTATTTTGGTGCCTCGCCGGAGATCTGCCGCAAGCGCAGCGTCAATCAGATCCGCCGCGCTGACAAGGCGTTCCCAAGCACATTTTGGTATTTTGGTGAGCCGCGCAGCCCGGCGTAAGTATCCCCCCCTCCCTAACTCAGCTCCTCCCAGCACCATAAGTCGGAGAAAGGGCGTGTAGTGATTTTAACAAAGCCGAGACCTGTTTTCACCAATCACATAAGCTCCTCTCCTTGCCTTTAAATCCGCCACCGGCGAGGCGTATTACTATTTTCATGAAGTAGTCAAAGAGATCAAGAGATGTCTTAAGACAGTAATGCCACAAGATGGCGACAGAGGGCAGCTGCTCAACAAGTGTCCTCCACACTCTCTCATATGAGCACAGATGGATTTAGTGTGCGTAATGTTGGACCCACTGGTAAGACAAACACCCTTTTCCACAAATAAAGACACTCACATAAAGTTGCTCATATTCAAACCTCACGTGACAAAGGTGGGTTTAGCGCACAGATCACAACATAAACTCCAAAAATGGCATTAAAATTGGAACCATCTGTGCGTAAATGACGCATCGCGCTCCGTGGCCTGGCTCTTTCTTTCATAGATGTTGGCATATAAAATAAATTTGGCTCACAAAACTGAATATTATAATATCCGTATGTCGGCTTAAAGTAGATCACGCATCTAAGCACTGAAACAAATCATCTGTTCAGCCGCAGCAGCAGCAAGACGGACAGAGGACACGGAGACGTGTCCAGGTCGAGCTGCGCGAGAAATAAGAGGAAGAGGAAGAAAGAAAAGGAGGGAGACGAATTACATATCGAGTTAACTTCATCATGTGTGTATATTTACTAGATATTTAATTTAATTTGATGCGGTTTCAGCTGTGTTGATTCGGTCAGGTTGTGTGTCCAAACGCGTGCCAAACGCGCTCATCAGATCAGGTATAGATCAGAATATATCTATATAGATCTAAATGTATGTGCTGACTCAGATTAATAGTTGATGATGATTATTTATTGCACTGAAATGTGCCTGACACTGTGGAAACCTGCCGGTGAGGCATCAGTGACGTATGTCGATACGCCGCCGGTCTACCAAAATACTACTAGACCAGCTGCGTTCCGCCTTGCGCTGAAAGCTGACCAGGTTTGAATCGGCGAGCTTTCAGCGCACTTTACACGCCGTTGGCGAGCACGAAAATGTCACTGCGCCAGCTGATTCTGTCAACACCTCCCCCTGCCACACCACCACGCCCAGCTTGGCGGATCTCGGCTCGCCTCCGTGCGGCTCATGCCACGAAAATACCAAATTGGCCTTACGCTGGGCTCCGCCAGACGAAAATACAACTGCGCGGGGCTCGCCGCCCTCCGCCGCCTCACCGGCGCGAACGAAAATAGAGCCCCCAGTCTCCAGCGTATTTACATCAAATTAACAAAAAATAAAGTAAAATAAAATAGAACATAGATAATAATAATTTAATTTTCTCCAAAATCCTCAGTGAGCCTTATAATCAGGTGCACCATATGTATGAATTCTGGTTGTGCTTACTGACCTCGAACCGATTTTATGTGGTACACAGCGCTCAAAATCTGTCAAAATGTTTTATTATGACTTCAGTAAGCTACAAAGCTGCACAGCCTGATGGCTTGTCGGAGCCCTTTGTTTGGCTTAATGCGCTTTATAATCCGGTGCGCCTTATGTATGAAAATAGACACAAATAGACGCATTTATTGATGGTGCGCCTTATAATCGCACCTTATAGTGCGAAAAATACGGAAGTGTAAATAATAGAACATAAATAGTGTAAATAATAGAACATAAATTGTGTAAATACAGTGTGTTTTTAAGAGTAGTTTTAGTTTTGAGAAACTTTTCTTAATGCTTTCAACCATCTATTGCAGTAGAAAATACAAACAAGCTAAAGAAAGCTGAATACACAAAATCTTATTTAAATTAAATTGAAACAGATATTAAAAAATTCTTTTAAAATGCTCCCGATGGTTTGTAAGCAAAGTCCTCTTTCAAGGAATCCTGGTCAATATCACTGTAATATCATTAAGTATCATATCGTACCATGTTTTATCAAACCAATCTATCATATTCCATCATACCTTAATGTAGCCAAGTCATATCATATCGTATCAAAGTGTAATAAACTCTTTTGGACTGTATCACTTTGTAATGTCCTGTCATATACCGTCATGTTTTTTTTATTATTTTACTGTTTCATTCTATTTTCATATCATTACATAATTAAACCTGAGAGTGTTCACGGTTTAAATCATGCCTCACCCTCTTTTCATGAACTGTGTCTGGATGAACTTTCCTGCTGCCCTCAGCTTCTTCTTCTACTCTGCTGTGAAGCCAGCTTTAAAAAGATTTAATGGTGATTTAATGGCAGCTCACTGGCTGAAAGGATGCTGAAGTAAACAATGTCATGGTGCTGATATGCAATAAGTCTGAGTTCAGGATTCGCCTGGTGTTTCTGAAGGATGTGAAGTCAATAACTTTTATTAAGTTGTTTCTGGAACTAAGTTTGGTTTTTTAATTTCTCATATAAGTTCAAACTCAGGATAATCTTGATGCTTTAAGTTTTCATGGTTTAGCTTCGCACACTTTCGAGCAAGGTAATATAATTTGCAGAGATTTAACCGTGTAATCGTGTCTTATGAAACATTTGCCTACTTCTGGTCTGAACCAGCCTGAGCAGATGGTTTGTACAGACTCTGTACACCAACATGTAAACCGGTGATGTTTGTGCCATCGATCACAGAACAAGAGCTGATGAAAAAGTGATCTTACAGACACCCTCAGCTGTGTCTCAGCTCACACTTTTCTCCCTGAGTGAGGCTGAATCATTGCTTACCGATGTGGAAACAGATGCGGCTTCCTCCTCCTCCTCTTCTGCACCCCCCTCTGTATTCACTTGGACAGCATCTCCATGGTGACAGACCTGTTGTTTCACGGCAACGGTCACTTCTGATGCTGTACATTAGGGAGATGCACAGTCACCTGTGCAGCGGGTATAGGGGTTAAATGTGTTTCATAGTGAAGAAATAATAATACTTGGAGATATGTTACTTAATTATCCTCAAACTGTCACTTCATTACTTCGACAAATTCTCCCCTGGTTGATGTTGTCAGTAAACATGGTGTCTTATCTGCTGTTATGCTGATGATACTCTCTTGTACTTCTGTGTTTTGCCCTCTGACCTCTGTATGTTGCAGTGATATTAATCGGAAACACAGAACACCTCCTATTAAATAGAACATCTCCCTTACATCTACTGCCATCTACAGGTGACCACATGAACATGAACAACCATGATGCTAGAAATCATGGTGTCGAATTTAGCAGCTGTTAGAAATCCAGAAGTTGTCAATTCAAATGTTTATCATCTCATGAGTGTTTAAAAATGATGTTAGATTTTAGTGATGCAAAAACTTCAGTATTTTTTTCATTTACTCGAATCTCAGTAGACTTTTAAAAGTTTGTGTTTAAAAGAAGTTTTTATTCCCTTTATTATCACTACAACTTTTGCAGCTTTTGTCGGGATAATCAGTTTGAGATTTTGAAATATTCTATCACAATATTTTTAGGGACTATCAGCAAAGATATATAGGTTTTTAAGGAGATTTGAGGTTTTTGATACTTCTTGTGTTTAAAGAGACCACATAAACAAGAAAAACTTGAAGCTAGATTTGTTAAACCTTTAAGAAAAAAAACAAATATTGAGTATAACATTAGTCTTGGGAGGCCAAGAAGTCAAGCTCTGACCACAGTGAATGTGAAACTGGTCGTTCTAACCAAGCGTCTGTATTCTGCTTTCTCTTCCTGCTTCTTCTGCAAACTGATTTGCAACCCCCCCTCACCCCAGCTTCTCTTTTTTACACCGTGCCTGATTTTACCACCTTTTGCTGGAGTCTGGATTCTTTGCTGATGCTCTGCCTCCCCTTGCTTTATGTAACTGCTCATGAAACATAGCGTGGGTGTGCTGTTTTTGCATTTTTATGTTTGCGCATAGATGGCAGGAAGCTCTACACTGGAGGTTTTTGCTTCTCACCCTGCTATGACTTTTTGACTTTTTTATGCATGTTCATTAGAGAGGGGAAGTGAGCTGTCCCTACATGCCGATATCACACAGGCATGTCTCTAAGCATGTCATCCCTCTAAGCACAACTCACTGCCTGCAAATGATTAACTCTCTTTTACTCTCTCTTGACTCCTGGTCAATGAAAGTTAGCAAATATATCCTCAAATGAACTCTAGAGGGAAAAAATGCTCTCATTAAACTTTTCCTCTCCAAAACTCAATTCTCATTCAAGGGGAGATTGTTGTAGATACTTGATAAAGTGTACTAACAGCTCACTGTTTCAGGAACAAACAGCTCTTTATGGATTACTGGTAAATACTTTGTGTAGGCTGTCCACTGTTGGACTTCTTATTTGGACACTTATCAAGCTGTCTCTCATTAAAGATCATGAAGGTGCATCTTTTCCCGTCGATTTTATGGTAAACGAGGGATTGTTTGATGCTTTACTGACTCAACTTTGAAGCAAAACTCTGTTGGCTGATTTCTGAGCTGCTTTAAAACTTTTCGAACACATAGAGGTGTCAGAAAAATATGTGCAGTTTTATTTTGATACCACCTGTGAGTGACAGATGTGAGATTTAGCAGTCTGTTGACATGCTGAGTTTTGTTCTGTGACTTTCAACCTCTTTAGATTGAGATGTTGGTATAGTTAGATAGTTACAATCAGAGAAATCAGACAAATGCACCACTTTTTATTGTCTTCTGTCAGAGGACGCAGTTTTTAAACCATCTTAAAGAAATTGACCTGTCAAGCTCAGAACAGCGATTCATGCATCGGCACACAAACACAAATAGACCAATTTAGTTCATGCGGAGCAATAAAAGCGAGTCTTTAGAAAGCAGCAAACTTCAATCTACACGTCTGTGTCAGAAGTGTCCTTGGATTGTGAACGCTCTTATCACAGTTTGATGACTCTGAATGTTTGAATCAGCCATAAAATCTTATATAACTGCAATAAACACAAACATTACTCCTCTTTTAAACTCAACTCCGTGATTAAAGTCCACATTCAGGGTGACTCAGCAAACTAGTAGTCAGCTAAAGGTCAACTCAGGTGGATTTTTAGGTCAAATAACAATATCTTCACCTTTTTTCCAAGTTTAACTCTCTGAAAAAGTCCCAAAAAGTTAAAGACTGACCACATTTAGACAAAAGTAGAAAGTAAAGTTTATAGAGAGTGTCAGTTTGAGGCTTAATGGTAAGATTCTTGTTTAAAAATATAGCTTTGCCGAGACTTTGTGACTTAAACTTTATTCTTTTTTTCATAAAATATTACTCTGTTTCTTTGCTGTTATTCTTTGCTTATATCTGGCGTGTGTACACCACTAAAGTTGTCTTAGTTTAATTTGAAAAAGTTCTTCATACATTTAAAGCTTCACCGCTTTACCTTTTAATCAAAACAAGGGAAAGATTTTAACTAAAATCCTCTTTCAGCTGTTTCAAGAATGAGTGTAAACTTTGATCTGTAGTCTGAAAAAAAAGCTCTCTGCTCTGTCATGTGGACAGGATATTTGTCAAAAATGGAGGAGAACTTGTCTTGAAAAAATACCCCTTTAGAGTTTGAGCTTAGCCCAAGATTCCAAGTCTAAACAGCCTCATGATACCCATATCTACACTTAAATAATGATGGTGTGACTGTCATTTGTATATGTTTTAGATTCTGTCCAAATAAAGCTGCTTCATCTTTCCCTGAAAATAAACTTTGATCAAAAAGTCTTTCAGAAATAACAGAAAAACTGTGATTTGCCTGAAAACAGCTCAAAATTTGGGAGGAGCATCTGCCGCCCTGCAAAAATATTTATTCAAAGTAGGCACCAAAAGTCCACAATAACGGCCAGTTTCAGGCTCTGATGTTAAAAGAAGTGATTTTATATAAAAAGTGATAATACTGGCTCGTATGCAAACAATATGAGAAAGAATTGGACCAATTTTTAGAGAGTATTTATTAGACTTTAGTTTAATCATCATTATAGAGAGTATGAGATGATGATACTAATGGTGTTAATGTTGTTTGTCTAACAGGGGAAGTCGTACCCGTTCAAAGGCTCCTTCCCTCCCATGTGGAACCCCTTTGTCCTGCTGGACTTCAACAATCTGTTCAGGACGCTGGACGAGATGGGCAAGGAGGTAAGGAAAGGATGCATCCTTACCGCTTGTTTCAACCGTCATCAAGATTTGTGCCCCATCTGTTTAAAAATGAAATGTTTGTTGATCTTGTTTCAGATTCCCAGAGAGGCTCCGTGGAGAGCGCCGCACGCTGAGGAGTGGGACAAAATGAGCATGCTGCAGCTCCTGGACAAAATCTGCTGGACCAGGTAACAGAGACTCGAGAGGGTTTGATCGCTTTTCCTGTCTTTAGAGAGTGAGGCCAGGTTTGATGGTCATCGAGAGAAGTCATGGAGGAATCTTGTCTGAACAGTCAAATAAATCTGTGTATCATCTTCTTACAAACAGTCAGAGTCACCTGGTCTTCAAATAAGTCTCTGAATAAAGTCTTGACATGAACAGAGTTTAAACCCTTCATGTCTTCCCCTCTTTTTAGCACTGTCCGTCGCTTCGCCACCCTCTTTGTCAACGTGAACGTGACCTCTGAACCCCAGGAGGTATCAGCTCTGTGGTTCCTCTGGTACGTCAAACAGTGTGGAGGAACCATGAGGATCTTCTCCACCACAAACGGAGGACAGGTAGGTCTGCAGAGTCGATATGATGTCTTTCTTACTTTTTAAACTCCTGCTTCCCTTTTAGAGGCTTCAACCACAACCTCTAAATGGTGTTGAGTGTCCCAGAAATTAAACACTTGAATCTGGAGAAGGCTAGATCTATTTCTAGTGCACAGTTTATAAATTTGTGTCTATATTAAGGCATTAAACTCAGACTAATGGAGGATCAGATGAATGAAAATCCCTCTAAGTGTCCCTAACTGAACTCGCAGCACAAACAGAATACTTGAGTATCGTGTTCCCGCTCCTCCTGAAAGTCTTTCTGCAGAAAAACAGTTCCCTGCAGAGCCGAAGAAGTGTTCTGAGCAGCACCAGTCAGAGGTCTCAGCCTCTTCAATCAGTCCTAACACGTTTACCTTCAGTCAGCTCGCCATCATTACCAGCCTGACAAAAGCTGTTTTCCTGGAGGGCTTTCCAAAGCTGAGTGTTCCTGTTGCCATGGCCGCAGAGGAAAGGGACTGTCTTTAAATAAACAGACATTCTGTCCAATTGCTGGACCTTCCTGTTTAAGACATGCTCTCCTGTTTTTGGATATATGAGTACAGTTTGGAAATGCACATCCTGGCGTTGGTTTATATGATCCTGTGCAGGTTATATCAGAATACAAACTGGAGCTGGAGTTAGAGCTGCTCCTTTTGCAGCAGAAAGCTCCGACTTGGATCTTTTGTGTCACTACAAAGTTCTTTTATCCTCAGAGGAAAGTGGTCATTACATTACTGTGGCCTGACTTCATTAAGAGGGGGACACAGGGGTCCAAGCTCTAGGTTACAGGCCCCACTTCAGCACCGTGGGAGTGGACAACCAGTTCTTTTGTTTTTTGCTGCATTCAGCAAAAGGAAATTGTTTGCGCACCACTGTGGTTGGTGAGAGTCTGGGGAACCCACTGGTGGAGTTTTCTGATCATCTGGTGCCGCTTCATGGTGTTAAAGGGAAATTACAGCGCAAAATTAAGTTAGGGTCAAACACACCGTAACACTGAGTTAGACACCCCCTTGAGAGATGAATGTTGCAGACCACTTGCTTCTCAAGTTATACCAACTTTAGTAACGACTAAACTAACCTAACTTCATCAACAGTACAGATAGAGTCCCAGCCACAGCACTAGCCACCAAACATCTTTTTAACTTTGTCTAATTTCTTTAGCAAAGAGACTAAACACAACTCACCTACTCTCTTCCAGCAGCCGCTTGTTTGTAGCGAGACCTCGGGGGAGTCCAAACTGACAGTGGGGTGACGCAGCTCAAGGAAGAACATTTATGATCATTTCTTTATCATTTCCTTGAAGTAATAATCACCATATTAATCATTCTGCACTGCAGACACGGTAGTTCTTCTGCCTTAGCGTCTCTGTCTGATTGTATCTCCATGAAGAAATGATCATAAATGTTCTTCCTTGAGCTGCGTCACCCTGCTGTAGTCTGTAATGGACTCATCTGAGGTCTCTGTACAAACAAGCAGCTGCTGGAAGAGGGTAGGTGAGTTGTTGTTTAGTCTCTTTGCTAAAGAAATTAGGCAAAGTTAAAAAGATGTTTGATGGCTAGTACTATGGCTGGGACCCTATATGTACTGTAGGTGCTGTTCTGAGTATTATTTGTGGTTATAGAGTGGTGCTTTGATTGAGTGTGTGGCTCCTCAGACCGCTGTGTATTGCTATTGTGCAGTCATTAAAGAAAAGCAGAGAAGCAAGTGGTCAGCAACATTCATCTCTCGACAGGGTGTCTAACTTGGTGTTACGGTGTGTTTGACCCTTAATTAATTTTACACCAGAATATCCCTCTAATAGCAGAACTGAAGTTACTGAAGAGGCGTCAGGCGATGCTATTCTGTCCTTTTATTTTTGTGCTGTACTTAAACTTGTTGTATCATAAAAGTTGAAATAAACAATGAAATCATAAAAACCCCATCATTGATTCACATCAAGGACAGCTGTGGGTTACTGTGAGTCCAAGGATGGACTAAATCATGTAGACACATGCATTCCTCTTCCTGTGTTTCCCCTGAAAAACAAACTTATCTTTAATCAAAAGACAAACACAGTTAGTTTTAAGGCCAAGGCTGATTTAGATGTAGCCCCTGATGTCTGTGGGCTGGCAGGCAAATTTGTCCAAATGCCACAGAGAGGCACTCACAGTGTGTTTCTGATTGGGGAGACACCGACGCTAACCATACGGAAAAGGTCACAGTGTATTTCATTTTCTGTATCCAAGCTTTGCAGCTCTCTCTCTCTCTCTCTCTCTCTCTCTCTCTCTCTCTCTCTCTCTCTCTCCCTCTCTCTGGAGCATTACAAACACATTTCCTCCTCTAGTTTTAGAAGTTAAATTTTTAGTAAAGCAAACAGAGGCCAGATGGAGGATCAACAGTAAAACCTGAATAAAGCTGCAGATTTTATCAGACTGAGTCTGTGATGTGGGTTTTTTATGAGGCTACCAGAGTCAAACTCTGAGCTGGATCAGGCTGCATTGAAGCAATTTTACCCAGAATAAACTAAGCACACCTTGTAAAGTTAGCATAAAAAAGCTTTAATAAGTTACCCCCACCTTAGCTGCTCTGATGGCTGACCCCTGACCTCTCTGTTCACCTGCAGGAAAGGAAGTTTGCAGGCGGCTCGGGTCAGATCAGTGAGTGCATGGCGAAGGAGCTGGGAGAGAGGGTGAAGCTGCAGTCTCCGGTCTACAGGATCGACCAAAGCGGGGACATGGTGGTGGTGGAGACACTCGACAAACAGACCTACATGGTAAGAACAAGAATGCTAAAATCATGCAATACATCAAAATAATATGTCATCTTGACTTTTGCGGATGCTTAACTTGAATATTTTTCCTTTTTGCAACATCATACTTTTACTCCACCTTATTACAGGAGTGTTCTGCACATTGTGCATTTTCCTTCTACAAGATTTATTCCAGCTATTGACAATTTTCCTCTGCAACAGCCTGTGAATACCAAATAATAACCTTTCCTTTGTCTTGGAGTCTGTCCTGCAGCATCAAATGCAAAGAACAAACTTTGCATGCAGTATGCATTTGATAAATACTCACCTCTTTAAATTAGCTTTCAAAACTTTATTGCTGCTTACATGAAATGCCAGTTTAAGTTTAGGTAAGTTTTGCCCAGGTAGGTCAAAAGAGCGGCTTAACTAAGTCAGGGAAAATGAAAACAAGTCTCTTCCACCAAAATATCTCTTCTTTTTTCATGGCTTCACTCTTACTTGTTAGTTTAACTCGTTCACACTTGTCTTTTTTGTGTTTTTCCATTTGCACTCATCATACACAACCTCTGCAGCATGAATTGATAGAACTCTTGCTTTGGGTTATGTTGTTCTCTGCTGCCATCTACTGGTTTCTCAGTGTGGTGCAGCTCACTCTCTTACCAGTGTTTTGTTTCCTCTCTGATTTTTAACCTGTTTGTGTTTTATTTTAGGCCAAGTACGTGATCCTCGCCACACCCCCGGGTCTGAACCTAAAGATCCACTTCAACCCTGAGCTGCCCCCGCTGAGGAACCAGCTGATCCACCGCGTCCCCATGGGCTCCGTCATCAAGTGCATGGTTTACTACAGAGAGAACTTCTGGAGGAAAAAAGGTAGAGAGGGGGAGAGAATCTGGGATGTTGTTCGATCTGGAAATATTTGTCTGTTATGAGCTTTAATTGCTCACCCGTGTCCAGGTTACTGCGGCAGTATGGTGATCGAGGAGGAAGGAGCGCCGATTGGCCTGACGCTGGATGACACAAAGCCTGATGGGAGCGTACCTGCCATCATGGGGTGAGTAGAAAATATGCATGCAAAATTCAATGATGCAAAAAAAGAGGGCCTTATATAATTGAGTCTGCAATGTTGAAAAATTGTAATATTTCTGGAGTATAATAACATGATCGCAGAACCAAAAGTGCACAAAATACCCTCATGCTGTCATGAATCACCTGCAGTGTCTAACGCTGCTCCTCTCCCTCTCTTGCAGGTTCATCCTGGCCCGTAAGTGCAGAAAGCTGTCAGGCCTAAGCAAAGAGGAGAGGTAAAGTGCACTCTGCAGAAAACACAGCAGATTAAATCTCTGTCTCTGCTGGAGCTCAGCGTTAACACACTCTACTGTCACCCTCAGGAAGAAGAGGATCTGTGAGATCTACTCCAGAGTCCTGGGCACAGACGAGGCTCTGCATGTGAGTTAGATTCAGACTAAAACACAGACACACAGAAGTGAGACAGAGATATTTACCTCTTCGTGTTTCCTCTTTGCTCTATCAGCCGGTGCACTATGAGGAGAAGAACTGGTGTGAGGAGGAGTACTCAGGAGGCTGCTACACGGCCTACTTCCCCCCAGGAATCCTCACTCAGTACGGCAGGTAAGATGCAGGACAAATATTCACTTTTAGATGGTTTAGTTAGAATCTAGATGACTTCAATTATTTCCTAGACAACTAACCAAACATTCAAAAAGAGGCCATTTTAAAATACACTAAAAGTTTTCTTTTGTCTGTCCTGTGTGCAGGGTTCTGAGGGAGCCGGTGGGGAGGTTGTACTTCGCGGGAACAGAGACGGCCACAGAGTGGAGCGGATACATGGAGGGAGCGGTGCAGGCTGGCGAGAGAGCAGCCAGAGAGGTCAGAGCACGGAAAAATACCAGACCCATGAACAAAACAAGAAGTCAAAACCCATAAAGTGTTTGCTGTATCAAGTTTTTACAGCATTCTGTTCAGTCTTATTTACTCCAATCTTCCAGCTCCTCTCTCTGCTGAACCTTAGGGCCTTCGCTGCTGCTCTCCCTGCTTTGAATTTTCTTGAATGTTTATAAATTAGAGGTAGTGTAAGCTCCACCTGCATAAGGTTTGGGTATTTCATTTGTAAGTGGAAAGCTCTACCACAGGGATCTTTGCTGCTGCTCTGTCTGCTTCGGTATTTTTTGTATGCACATATAATGTTAAGGAGGTGTGCTCTCCCTGCCTCAAGCTTTGGCATTTGAGGAAAGCACGTGGAAGGGCAGGGGACTTTTAGAATAGAGCGATACCGGCAGAAGAAATTTATTGCAGGATTATAATTATAAGTAATGAAGTTTGAAGAGTCATGAAAAGCTTCTTGAGCAGTGACGTAACTTCTTGTTTGAAGATTTTCTGGGGAGTTTGAAACAGCAAATTTGTTTTAGAAAGACCCTGAAATAACACTTAAAAACTAGAATGTACATCACCTAAAACTGGATTATTAAAATGTTGATGAGAAGGTGCTGATTTACAGATAAGTGTGTTTTGTTGCAGATCATGTGTGCGATGAATAAAATCCCAGCAAATCAGATCTGGCAGAAGGAGCCGGAGTGTGCGGTGAGAGGAAATTTTATTTGTATTTCAGATTGAAATCAAACTCAAAAGTCAAATGACTGAAACGCTTTTTTCTCTCATTACAGGAGATCCCTGCACTTCCCTTCCACACCTCCTTCTGGGAGAGAAACCTGCCTTCTGTCGGGGGCCTCTTGAAGTTCATCGGGGTCTCCACCTTCCTGTCTGCTGCTGCTGCAGCCGGCCTTCTCGCCTACAAGAAGGGGCTCCTCCCCAGGAGTTAAACCACTCCCCTCCTCACCTGTCCACTCACTCCTCTGCTCCTCCAGGAGGAACATCTCTACAGACACTCTACCTGTGTACTTTTAGTGTGCATACTCCAGAGTAGGGAGCTACGTGGAGTATAAGGATGTTTTAATGAGAAACACCCTGCTGTAAGAAAGACTGTACAGCTCAACACAACACTAACAACCGCTCTGTTTATAAAAAGAGAGAGAGAGAGAGATTTACAAAGAAAGAGAGATAAGAGAGAGAGAGAGAGAGAATAAAGAGGTTCAGAGATGTAAGGTTTGGAGGAGAGAAGAGGCTCGAGCTTCAGTTTTAATCTGCATTTAATCTGAGATTCAGATTGTGAAACAAATGAAGGAGAAAGAACAGAATCGATCTTAAAACAGAGAAAATATATCAGATATAAATCTATAACTCTTAATATTGCATACATTGCCAATGACATTCATGTTCTCGATTCCATGTGAGTTTATTAACTCCTCGTGCTTTCTGTCTGTGTGTGTGATCTTTGTTTGCGTGCATGTGCACACGCTTCAGCGAGCATGCATTTGTGAGTTTGTGTTCAAAGTGTGTGTGTGTGTGTGTCTGATGAGTGTGTGTGTGTGTGTGTGTGTGTGTGTGTGTGTGTGTGTGTGTGTGTGTGTGTGTGTGCAGTGAGTCTAATTACCTCTGATTTTAGGTGCTGATTTGTTCTGGCTGTGCAGCTGCAGCAGTGTGATGAATCACGGTGAAACATCAGAAAAAAACCGAGCTGTGTCATTGCCCGTCACAAAACCACAAGATCAGAAAACCACAGAGCAGATTTCATATTTTATTTAAGAGGACGATCTTTATTTTTCTCTTTCTGTCAACAAATCTCACGCAAAAACAAACACCACCTTTTTTTTTTTTTTTTATTGAGTCATGCCCGTGCAGCTAAAGCTGGATTCAGTTGTTCTTGACAAAAAAACGAAAAATACAAAATGTTCTCACAAACAAACCAAAAGTCAACCTTTGCAGAGCATAAAATATTCCCTTATTTCACTGGTTGTTTTAAACTGTTGGAGACGGGCAAAAAAATGAATGAAAAGACTGAGATTTTTTGTATTTTGTTGGAAAAAGAAGACTTGTGCACTAAAAAACAAAAATTTTTAAATTTTACACTCCCCTGAAATGCAAAAAGAAGAGCGCCCCGATTTTTCTGCAACAGCCCAAAATCGTCTGCAGTTTGCTTTGTCAAATGAAATGCAATTTCTTGACATCATCTGTGCGAATTTGGTTTTTATGCACTTTTAAATGTCCTGCATCTGCTCAAGTGACTCTTTACATATATCCATTTTCAGTTTCCCTGATGGGCTGGAGTCAAACCCAACTCCCATTGGCTGAGAGGTGATGTACAGGTTGTTAGCCACTTTTTTAATACAGCCCCTTACTTTACATCAGGTTGTATAATCTGATTAAATCCTAGGAAAAAGGCTCATCTGTATCTGATCTAAATTCTCATCAGAATTGGAGCTCTTTCTCTTTTTTCCCTCCTTTCCTTCTTCCCTGTATAATTATGAATCTGGACTCATACCGCCTCGGGAAATCCTCAAATCTCTCACTCAAGTGGAAACATTTTCAACTTGTGTGGACGCATCAAGTCAACTCAGTTTTATTTATAAATCCATGAATCATAAATTCGCCTCAAGGGGGCAACGTATTCACTTCATAGCGGTAGTTTGTTTTAAATTTATCCCTCAATGCTGACCTCGTGCCAGATATTACTCACTGGAGCTCCGGAGCTTCAGCTGGAAATAGTCTCCAATTGAATTTACTTTTTACTCTTAAGCTGTTTCAGGTTTTCAAAATCATCAGATATTTGTCAGCTGTTTTTACAGAATAAATCACAGATGTTTACCTGGGATTTGTTGACACTAAGAAACAAATTTAAAAGCTTTTATTTCCACAGATAAAATGCGTTTTAAGAGGTGAATCAGTGTGATTATGCTGCTCTGTTTGTCTGTTTGTTTTTAATGTAACAGAAGCATTTGAATGTATTCTCCTCACACCGGATAACACAAACTCTTTGTTGCTTTATCACGATCAGAGGTGTGAGAGATATCAATTTATTATTTTAGGTGCATTTTTATTGAAAGCCATTTTTAACTAAAGCCCAAATGCTCCTGCTTTGAATGCCTGTATGTAGCAAGATTACAAAACACTATTTTTAATCTTTGGGTTTAATTAGCATTTATATCACACCACTTTTGTTTCCTCCTAATTAGTCCCTGTAGTCAGTGGGTTAAAGCTCCTGCGAGGAAAATTTGGTTTGTGCTGGTTTTGGTGCCCCCTGTGGGTAAAGGTTTCCTCTTGTCTCTTTGCTAATTTCTTCATGGATAACGTGAACAAAGTCCATTCCTACAGCATGCTCTAAATCACTTTATCTGACACTGATCCACTGACACTGTTTACAGGCAATAAATAAAAATAAAAAGACACTATCGATCTTTTTCTTGATGGTCTAGTTTGTTTTTGTAGCTTAAGAAGAGGCAACATCAACATTTAGGTAATTTTAAATGGGACCCCTGGTCGAAGTAAGGTTAAATTTGGTGGTATAGATCAATTCTGAGAGCTCTTTTAACCTCCAATTAGTTATGCAAAATGCCAAAATCTGAGGCAGGGAGAGCAGCAGCAAAGACTGCATAAAGTAGAGCTCCCTGGTTTTCCCTCATACATGCATTAAATGCCAAAGCCTTAGACAGGGAGTACTCCTCTCCTATAAAACATTTATATTCAAGAGCAGCAGAGGCAGGCAGAGAAACAGCAAAGACCTACCCACTGCACAATGCGACGTCGAAATGACATCTATTTAACGTATTTTTTCGACAACGAGGTAGAAATGTGGACGTCATTTCAACGTTTAAAAGAGGTCCAATAAAGACGTCTAAAGCTTGGATATATTTATCACATTGTGCCGACGTCTAGATTTGGTCTTCAGATGACGTCCAAATTTTAAACGTCAGAGCGATGTCTAAAAAGGGTCCAATTTGGACGTAGAAATGTCTAACCTATAATGCACGTCGCACTGACATCTAGATGTGGTCTTTGATGGACCGACCCAATACTGACTTGTCCTGTACGTCTCTTCGACGTCCAATGTTTGGTGGGTACCTAAGGTAGAGCTCACTGGTTTCCCATATGCATACATGAAAAAGCCAATGTCTAAGGAGAGTACAGTTTTCCTTTCCAGGCATCTCCAAACTCTTCCACAAAGGGCCGGTGTGGCTGCAGGTTTTTCTTCCAACCAAGCATCAGCAGCAGCAGAAACACACCAGACTTGATTCATTTCATCAGCTGATCTTGGTCTTCAGACAGCTGGTTGGTCAGACTGCGTGCTCTTGACTGGTTGGAAGAAAAATCCGCAGCCACATCAGCCCTTTGTGAAATAGTTTGGAGAGTTTAATTGATTGACATGAGGGACATGCAGGGAGAGCAGCAGCAAAGATCCCAGATCCAACAGAACAGATCAGACATGATTGCCAAACCTTATCAATATCCAATGACAGAGGAGGACTTGGCAGACTAAAGCAGTTTAAATAAAAGTCTAATTTTGATGCTGATGAACTGTGGGCGGAGCTTGATTTTATTGCCTGCCTGAACTAACACTATTCTCAGTTGTGTTAAAGAACTAACTATAAAGACCTCACAGGAGCTTTTAAACACGCACCTTGTTTTATTTTATTTTAGCACTGAATTGTAACAAAAATTATTTCTTGAATCACATTAAAATAGTGATAAATACTTGGAAAATGGTTATTAAGTCTATCTTGTACAATGAAAACAAAGCTGAGTATGTGCGGTAAAGGCTTAGTCAGATTGCAAACACTTCAACAGCATCTTCAATGAGCTAAAATGACCAATGATGTGTGTCTAGAGTGGAAATAAAGGTCTCAATGTAGACATGAAGAGGACCAATCATTACATGTTTGAACCTAAGAGAGTTCCTCTGTCTGTGTGTCTGTTTTTAGAGGGCGTCATCATAGTGTGTGTGCTCACTGAGGGGAATCACACTATTAACCTCCCAAAGATCTGTATGTGTGTGTATGCATGTAAGTAAGTGAGTGTGTGGTGATCTGTTGTGCCTTAATGGAAGTCATAGTGTATTTGTCATTTCTCTTAAAGTGCCTGTGTGACTCTCTGACACTCACTGTCACCCATCACCTCACCCCTGAACCCTTTCCCACCCTGCCTGCACCAGACGTCAGAGGTCAAACTGACCGGCTGATTGGTAGCATCTCTAATAATGATGTTCAGGGTCCAGAAATAAGTAAATACCAGAGCAGTGGTTTACTGGGACTTCAACACAACAGGCTGTTAAAAGGTTTTTGATTTACTGACAGATATAATAAAAGAGAAGTAGAGAAATCGTCACTTTTCAGAAGCTGGAACCAACAAATCTCGACTGAAACAATCAAGCAGTTCTTTAAAAAGTCGGCATTTTACCAGTCAAGTGACCATTTCAGCTTTGTACCTAATGTTTATCTCAGCCTGTTTCTGGGCTAATATCATTAAAAACCTGCTTTCAGTCCTCGGTGTGAACTTGAATAAGGTGCAGGCAGGTGTATAACTGCAGTATCAGCTGTGACTGAGCTCAGACTGTTAGATTGATCAATCTGCTTCTCTCCGGTGTCTCTGTGTCTGTTTTGTGTTGTGATTGTAGTGTTCCTCTATCTGTCCTCCTGTTTTGTGTGTTTCCCTCTCTTTCCGTTGGACAAAGATGTCGCTCACATTTCAACCTGTTTTTCTAACTCCAGTGAACAAAGAAAGCCAGCACACTCTTTCCGTCCTACTTTACTACAGGTTTACACAATCAGCAGGAATAATGTACCATCATTAATTCAAAACGCACAGTTTTCTGGAGACTAAAGACTGCTCTTCTTCTTCTTCTTGTCTTTTTGTGCACTCAAACCCACCAACGTCGCTGTGACTGATTCTTTAATGTCTTTGATTCTTTAAACAAAGCTGGTGATATTTAAAGAAAAAAATGTGAAATAAATCTTTTACTCGTCTTAAACTGCTCTTCTGTGTTTCTTTGTATAATTCCACATTGGTGTGTACAATTATTTGAAGGAGATTGTTCACTTTTGGGACCCCAGAGTTTAATCTCTGATTCTATGCAGAAGATGTGGTTCTGTTGGCTTCAACAAATGCTGATTTTCAACAGGTGCTGCAACCAGGGGTGAAAGTAGAATAGGGTTATTGCAGGTACTGTGTCCGTAGGCTTTGTACAAGAGGAAGTTTTCTCTTGTACCCACAGTGGTCAGTAATGGACTGGCCCGAGGTCTCGCTACAAACAAGCGGCTGCTGGAAGAAAGTAGGTGAGTTGTGTTTAGTCTCTTTGCTAAAGAAATAAGGCAAAGTTATGTTTGGTGGATAGTACTATGGCTAGGACCCTATATTGGTGTTGATGAAGTTAGGTGCTGTTCTGAGCATTATTTGTGGTTATAGAGTGGCTTTTTGGTTGAGGTTTGTTTATGGCTCCTCAGACCGCTGTGTATTGCTATCTTACGGTCGTTACTAAAGTTGGTATAACTTGAGAAGCAAGCGGTCGGCAACATTCATCTCTCGAGGGGGTGTCTAATACTGTGTCACGGTGTGTTTGGCCCTAAATTAAATTTACACCGGAATATCCCTTTAAGATTGAAGCAGCTATCTCTTTAAAAGTTCCTCAGCGTCTAGGCAACCAGCGTCCAATCAAAAGTGCGCACTGTGCTCTTCGGAGTTTGTTTGTTTGCGGAAGCAAATACGACTCAGTCGCAAGCAGCATGGTCCCATTGGATTACTACGGTTACAATGCCGAGTGCAGATTGACGTGCGGCAACACGGTAAGCAAATGTAGCCTACTTACACTGAAGGGGTGAAAGTTTGCGTACCGACAGTAAACTGCTGTTTATGTCTTCCCGGTACGACGTACCGCGGCGTACCGACTTCCCTTCACAGTTTGGGGTTCCTTTCTCAGGCAAGAGTCCTTGTATCTGAGGGTCTTGTTCACAGCAGATTATAGGTTATACATTATCAACAGTGAACCAAAGTCCTATCCAGTAAAGTCTCCCAGCCCCTTTGCGGGAACCAGGGGTGTTTCCGGGACAGAGGGATGTTGGGTCATCTCCAAGGTCTCTTGTTAGACAAACTGGATTGGAAATAATTCATTTCTGAAGTTTTCCTGCTGCCTGCTGAACAGGAGAAACTGGCTCATTTTGGCTCCTCAGAGTTTGTCGAAGTAGACATCACAGCAGAGTCAGGTGTGTGTGTGTGTGTGTGTGTGTGTGTGTGTGTGTGTGTGTGTGTGTGTGTGTGTGTGCCTGATTGCTCCTGATTGGTCACAGATGTGGGGAGGTTACAGATTCTGTTGTGCTCCAGGTCCATGTGCTGACTTATTAGCTCATTTGCTGTGGTTGTGAGAGGGTCTCCCTCTGTGTGACGTCTGTGTTTGCTCCATAAGAGCTTCAAGCCTTGTTGGGTGGTTCCTTCTCTGTTTTCAGTGGTTGTCTTGAAAGTGGTAGACTCAGAAATAGGACTTTAAAGCTTCAAGCCAACTGTACACAACTTCCCACCAATCAAAGTTAAATATAACAACTTAAGGGGTATTGTCTGATTGAGGTCATAGTGATATTCCTGTGTGCCAATGAAGGAAGTAAGTTATTGATATATGACAGTTGTGCATCAGGAACTTTGCAGGAAAGCCATCATGAACAGATTTCTTTATTTCTTGATGCATTAACTTATCAAAGTCTTTACGGACTAATCCTGAGGAAACCATGAATTTATGTGCATGATTGTGTCCAAATGCATTCAGTAGTTATTAAAATATTTCACTCTGGACCAAAGTGATGGACTGAAATTGCAGCGCATTGAGACGCGCTCCATGAAAATATGATATTTAAGTTCACACTTTGCTTAAATAAGCAGTTTCCTCCTGTTTTAGCACAGAGGACAAAAAGCTAGAGCAGTAAATTGCCATAAGTGGGTTGTAATAGAAAGAGGCAGCCAAAGGTTATGAATACAGATGGTTAAGTGATTTACATTAAACTCAGATTTAGTGTAATTTTCCCAGCAGCCCTCCAGCGCCCGTTCAATGTGTGTGCATATGTGCATTAACCAAAGCACATAAAGATCCCTGGCTTAAAACCAGAGGAGCTCAGACTCAGATGTAGAAAGACAGGAGTGAGTTTATCTCTCTGCAGAGACAATGAGACCCCAGAGAGGACGGAGAGAGAGTCTGACAAGATCACCTCTGCACGTCAGAAACATCACAAAAGCACAAAGTCTGCAGACTAAAGCTTTATCTGTTAGACCAGTCCAGTCTCCTCTGAGTGTGTGTGTGTGTGTGTGTGTGTGTGTGTGTGTGTGTGTGTGTGTGTGTGTGTGTGTGTGTGTGTGTGTGTATGTGCATGTGTGTGTGCGTGTGTGGCTCCATGCCAGCTCCTCTGCTGGGCTCTGCAGGGATAAGCTGCCGTCTTCTTTCATCTGCTCTGTATTTAATTTAATCTCTCCTCTGAGCCGCTCCTCACCGTGGGCCGTTCACATAAATTCAACAATTGTAAAATCAATGTGAATCATGATAGAAGACCTTACATAAAGATGTTCTTATTGAGATGATAATCTGCTCCTGCTGCCTTTTATTTCTTTCCAACAAGTCACCATAATTAAGTGTCCTCTGATCTGTAAGGTTCAGATGTTGCACACAAATTAACCTTGAGCAAAATTAGTGAATCTCTTCATGACAGAGGGGAGATCATTTCCATCTCTGCTAAATTTAAAAATATGTGACTTTGGAGCTTTTTTATTTAGCTAATCTGACCTCAGTCACAATGAAACGAAAACCAAAGCAAACAGCACATTGTACTAAATGTGCTAAACCCTTAGGAAGGGATGCATCTCAGGGTCAGAAAGTGAGTGGGTGTGGAGACCGAGACTGGTGCTGGGTCTTGTCTAAACCTGTCAGGATTCATTTTTATACAACCCATGACTAACAATAGATCATCTCTTGAAATAAAGACAGTAGTCAGTATGCAAACATGATGCTTTGTGTTTTAATCGGCTGATTTAAGCAAAATAATGTGAACATCTGAAGTGCTATCAGTCCATTTACCAGATACTTAACCTGCAGTTCCTGTTTGTGCCACTAGAGGGCAGATAACAACTATCAAACTAAATGTAGACTACTGAAAAAATAATATCGTTTTTTCTTTTGTTCTCACTCTTATCTCTAGAATTGGTGGATTGGAGACTAGTGTCCACACACACACACACACTCTCTCTCTCTCCCTCTCTCTCATGCAGGCTGTGTGCCGTCACATTAATCCAGACCGGGTGTTACTCATGTTGTCTCTGGGCTGGTTCTGCTGGTTGACATATGGCACTTATGTTGCTCTCATCGCTCCCCTCTGAGCTGTGATAGCCAGAGGCTTGTACAATCCCAGATTGACACACCAGGCTTAGTCACTGCGACCACTTTCCAATCCCACGCCACAGGCGGGCTCTGACGGCTTCCCAGCATGCACTGAGGTTGTGTAACTGCAGCCTGGAACAGCTGGATGGGCAGCTCTTAGAGTGCTGGGGTTGCTGTTTTTTCTTCCTTTTATGTGGGCGTCAATACATCTGCATGCAAGTGCACACACCTTAACAGACATGCCCCCTCCCATACACACTCACACACACACACACACACACACTGCCACTTTAACACACTCTGTCCTCTCTTTATTAGACTGCAGCCCTGCTCCCGGCCTCGCTACAGCCCGCTCTGATATGAAATCTGACACTGCCAATTTGCCTCCCAATCCGTCAGACCATGGATTGGATTCAGATGGCAGGAGTGTTGGAGGGGCTCAGGGACTTGGAGCTGTGGCCTAGGCAACTGCTTCCCGCCACCCACCCACGACCATAACCCCCAACACACACAAACACACGCACACACAGCAGTGAAATCATCTACACTCTACCATTAAATGTTCCACTCCAGGACTCGTTCACAGAAGGGGCGAAAACCTTTTTTTCTGCGGTTAAACATAACGACTAAAGCTGCCAAAAATAAGACTTTGTGGTGGAAAGTATTTATTTCTCATGGTTTATATTGCATACTCACATACATACATCTTCTTAAATGATCCTAAAACATGCATTATAGTTCACTGTTGACACTAAGGCTAAATGGGGGCCCACACATCCAACACACATATACACTTCAATATAGTCCGCATGTACTTCTCTGATTATCCCTCTAATATTCCCCTAAAATATTGCCTGTAATATACTCCTAATATACCTTATGATATACCATCAAGTATAGCCAGTGAAAAACCCCTAAATATACCCTATGATAAGTTACGCCTGTAGTATACCCTCTGATATAGCCTGTAATATACCCCCTAATATACAGTCAGAATACCCTAAATTACACCGGTAATATACCCCCCAATATACCATCCAATATACCCCCCAATATAGCCTGTAATATGGGGTATAGTTAGTATACCCCAAATTAAGTCTGTAATATACCCCCACTATACCATCTAGTACATCCTCTAATATAGCTTGTAATATACCTTATTTACCATCTAGTATAGCCAGTGATAAAGCCCTAAATATACCCTATGATAAATTATGCCTGTAGTATACCATCTAATATACCCTCTGATATAGCCTGTATTATACCCCCAATATACAGTCAGTATACCGAAAAATACGCTCTGTAATATACCCTCAGTATAGTATTTAATATACCCTCCAATATAGCCTGTAATATACCCCCTAATATACCCTATGATAAACCTTCAAACATATCCAATGATATACCACTTATATACCCTCTAATATACCCTCCAATAAAAAATATGATGTTCCATGCATTTAACCCCTACATGTACCCCTTATATACCCTATGGTATACCATGTTACATAATCTATGATTTACCCCCTATAAACCCTGTGTTTTACCCTTTCAATATAGCCTATGATATACCTCTATTCATACCCTATGATATACCCTTGAATAAGAGCCATAGTATACCCTTTGTTACAGCCTTCAATAAAACGCATGATAAACCCTTTTAATTTCCCCTTATACACCTTTTAGCATATCATATGATATACCCTGTAGTTTACCCTGTGATTTATACCCAATGATATTCCCTCCAATATAAGTAATTAAAGCTGACTCTTTGCTTTAGTCACCATGTCTTGTAACATGTTGTCTAAGCAGTAAGTTTTCAATCGGTACTAGACGTTAAATACTAGAAACGATGAATGATGCAATATACTTGTACAATACACAGTACAAAGCACACTTTGATCTACAATGCAACATAGGATACTATAAACAGTAGGATATTTGATTTACAGTTTGAAATATGATGTTACAATACAGTAAACCATGTTACATATTGTATACATCATGTTATTTGATACAGTGCGATAAGCTCTTACTGGAGGACGTCTTCAGAGTCATTCCTGTGTTTTTATTATCAGTGTCTATATTTCCTGTCCTGTCCTCATCCTTTAAGACCCGAGACTCTGCAGTCAATTAAACCTGATACAGACAGCCCTGTGTCTTATCCCACCTGAGTTTATCAACTCTGGATGAATCAGCGGGCGAGGACGGAGCTTTCTGAGCCGGCTCTGAGCCCGAGGTGTTCACAGCTCCCCCGTCTCATGCTGCTGTTGGCTTTCTAACTTATTGTTCTGTGCTGGTGGGACCTGAGCGAGATTTACCGCCAGATCCTCAATAGATTACACAATCTCCACTTGTTAGACATTTCACTTTGGTCCAAGGAGGACAAAAAGCTCTCCAGTCGTCCACCTTTCTGTTTTATTGGACCTGTTTGCTGAAATATCGTCACACAGAGACCTGAAAGTAGAAAAACAACAGAATAATATTCAGGCTGGTTAACTGTGGTTTACCTCAAGGAAATTCTGAACTTTCTCAGAGGAAATCTTTGACATTTTGGGAGTTATTTTGATTTATTCGCTTCCTGAATGTTAAATTTAGGACTCTGATTCCACAGTAGTGTCCTGTCATGTCGCATTCATCTGAAACTCAAGATGTCCAGTTTCTCTAAATCAGCTCTTCTACAGATTTCTGAAGACACCCCAGAGCTGGGGAAATTCTTCAGCTTTTACTGACCTCACTGACATGTAAGTGTCAGGTTCCTACATGGATTCATATTATCCAGTTAAATACAGTCTTTGTGTTATTTTTACTCTAAAGTTTCACTGAGACACGGGTGCTGGAGTTGGACCATTAGCCTCAGAGTATCTCCTCAGTGACATTGACAGAGTGCTAAGGAGGATTTCATCTGATAGAGAACCATCAGAGCCGGTAATGGTCCACATCAGTCACTCTGTCAGAACTCAGAGACCCAAAAAAAAAGAGGGAGCCGGAAGAAAAGTTACAGAAAGGTAAGTTCTTTGGAGAGAGGGCGAAGAAGGTGAGAGTGCAAAAAGAGGAAGTGAAGAGGAAGGTGAGAGGATAAAAGAGGAAGGGATGAGATGATTTGTTCAGGTGCTCTCATAACAAAGACTCTTCTGTCTGAGCTGATCCTTAGGATTTACTCTCACTGAGTGTGGAGAGGTGCTGGAGGAGAGAGGCTTCAACAACTCGGTGCCTTTAGCGTCCCTGTAACGGTGAGGGAAACGGCTAAAACACGGGCAACATCGCCGAGAACAGAGAGGTGAAGCCAAATAACTGCAGTACCCTAAGTGTCCACTAGAAGCTGACTAGATAGGTGAGTCTGACCCCACAAAGCAAGGCAGAAGAACTACCGCATCTGCCGTGCAAAATGATTAATGTTAACTTCAGGGAAATGATAGATTAATAATCATAAATATTCTCCCTTGAGCTGCGTCACCCCGCAGCAATCTGTAATGGACTGGCCTGAGGTCTCACTACAAACAAGCGGCTGCTGGAAGAGAGTAGGTGAGTTGTGTTTAGTCTCTTTGCTAAAGAAATTAGACAAAGTTAAAAAGATGTTTGGTGGCTAGTACTGTGGTTGGGACCCTATATGTACTGCTGATGAAGTTAGGTGCTGTTCTGAGGATTGTTTGTAGCTATAGAGTGGCGTTTTGGTTGAGGTTTGTTTATGGCTCCTCAGACCGCTGTGTATTGCTATCGTGTGGTCGTTACTTAAGTTGGTATAACTAAAGAAGCAAGCGGTCGGCAACATTCACCTCTTGAGGGGGTGTCTAACTTGGTGTTATGGTGTGTTTGACCCTAAATTAATTTTATGCCAGAAAATCCCTTTTAAGTGGACCAACAACCGCCTTTTCTAGCAGTCTCAGTCTGCACTAATTTAGCAAAAAAAAAAAAATTCGAGTTTGTTTTAACTGAACCCAAAAAAGTCAGGTGCAAAAGTAGCAATACTTTCTTCAGTCCACGAATACAATCTTTTTCTGTGAGCAACATGTACAGCTCCACTTCCTCTTTGCGTCATCCCCTAAACCAGCAGGGTTGACCCTGACAAAGTGAGACTTCCTCTGATGGATCATAGAGTAATCAAATCAAATTACTCCAGGCTGAGAGTTTTAATTCCAGCCCCGGACGCGTGTCGCTCTCCCCGGCTCTGCAGGCCTTGCCGTCAAAGCTCCAAAGTGATAAATAACCGGGTAAATAGTAAATCCACTGGCGGCTGCAGAGGGAAGGAGGAGAGGAGGGAGGGAGAGTCAAGGGAGTCTTAATCCCCCGAGTGAAATGACTGCAGTACGAGTCGAGCCCTGCACCCAAAAATAGTCTTTTCCTCTTTCTCATTTCCTCGGCTCTGCTGTCTTCTGCTGTGAAGGTAAACGCTCCATTACGGTGAAAGCAGAGGAATAAACACTCGAGTGCAGCACTTAAGGGAATCATCCCCCTCTGTCATATTCCCAGCTGGTTTCAATGTGTTCCATTTAAATGCATAATGCCTCAGAGGGTGGAAACAGCTAATCACAACTCATTCGAAATTAGTCTGTGCGAACGGCAACCTGGCTTAATCATACTGGAAAGCAAGCTGCGTGGAGTGTCATTTGATTATTCCGCCTCAGCGACGAGCCGGCATGAGAGCTCAGTCTGCAGCACAAGACGTGGGAATGCAGACGAATGCATCATGGTGCAAAGATGCAGGAGAGTCATCGAATCCCATCTGCTCACCTGTGGAGCCAAGTGCAGATCTAACGTCAGCGAGGAGGAAGAGCAGAGCTGCATATTTTCATTTTTTTAGAAGCTTTCTTACACTATTTGTAATCAATAGATCTAGGTTTATCTCAAACAACTTGCAGGAAAAATGACTGTTTAGTCTGAGTGAGCAGAAACATGAGGAGGGTCTCTCTGTTTGAAGAGCATCGTAAAGGATCAATTCTGGTCACACTCCGTTTGGCAGGATGTTGCTCCTAATTCAGAGTCACTAAAGCGAACAAGAAGAGAGAGAGAGAGGGAGGGTTCACTGCAGAACACGACCAACCTCACAGGTCATTCTGGGCCATGTGCAGATTTTAAAGAGAGCTGCAGAAAGTCTGGAAAACTCCTGCTTAAAGTTTAGGGATAAAAATGAGCATATCTGGCTGGGCGATGTGGGCAAAAGTTTATCACAATGTATTTTTTCATATCAGTCGATATCAATCATGATATAAAAATGAAGTTTAACAGTGTTTATTGGAAGTATGTCTTTTTCAGTACAATAAGATGCTGCATCTTTGAGGTCTTTGTGTCTCTTCGATGTTTTGTTGTAAGGCGTTGCGCTTGAGAAAGAGGACTGAATGGTTGGCTGTTTTGGCTGCGCAGGCGCCATGGGCTCCATGGGTTTGTAACCTTTTGCATTGCCCGTGCTCTGCCCCGTGCCACTGCTTCAGGTGGTGAAAAAGATTTGAGGTATTCCCTGACTTTGCGAGAACATGTACTCGACATTGTTTGCAGTGCACATTACTCGGCTTCATGTCAGACCTCAAAAAAACAAAATACCTCCACACCACCGACGTTTTCATGTCGCTATTTTCGACGATGTCATCATCTGTTGAGTTCATCTGCATTTCTGCCGGGAGGTAGCACTCATTTTCTTTTTTCTCACCAACATTGCTGTCTGCTTCACCTGTTAAAGTACTATGGTTGCATGTAGCTGCAGCCTGCTACTACACAGTTGTTTGCTACTTGGTTCTAATTCAGCACATGATTGGTTCAGCGCGAAGCGGACCAGGAGCAACTCCCCTTTACATTAGCAATTCATATAGTCTACCAAAACATGGCAGAATGCCAACAATATAAAAGGATATTGACCATGTTTTATATTGATATTGAGGGAAATTAATTTTTGATATATATCGTTTTTATTTTATCGCCCAGCCCTACATGGGACATGCATGCTGCTCACTCTTAAAACGATGAAAAAACTCCCTTAGTTGCTGTTCTAGGATACTAGGATGCACCATAATGTAAATATTCTCATTTCTGGGCATGTATAGTATAATATCATGGCTTTAAGTGATGTCTAAACCATCAGTAACTTGCAGCATTTTTCCCCAAATGAAAAATGTTCTGGGAGATATTGATAGGTTAGCCTTGTTAGTGTTAGCCGTCTTTATAAACAAACTTATTTTTTACAAACCATCCCGTCCATGTTCAGATTTTCCACTTTGCCTCCCTCTGTTTCTCTCAGACTCAGCCCACCTGTGTGTCAGATACAGAGGGAGGTTCTCCCCCCTGCGTCTGGCGTTCAGCCATGCTGTCCACTCGGCAGGTGTCCAGTGGAGCGTGTGAACAGGGTCAGGGTTTGGAGATAGGAGACGGAGAGTGGAGCTGCCATCCGTGAACATGGAGGAGAGGGGGGTCTGACTCCTGAGGCCTTCTGCTCTGCATTAAGGAGATCTGAGAGCCTATAATGTAGTCTGCCTCTGCTTTGTTTGTCTCTCCTTCAGATGCTTGAAGGAGGAGATGATTTCTGCTCTGATGGCGGCTGCAGAGTGTCTTTTTGCCGCTGTGTGTGCTCTGAATAAACTAAAGTAACATGACTGCTGTTTCTCTGCTGCTGTTTATTTTTTTAAATGCCAGCAGTCAGAGATGAAACCGCCGGTCGATGTTATTTTTGTTTGTTGTAATGGTTTCCCATTTTCCCGCCTATGACTCAGTGAACTGCAAATGAATCATCAGCGCTGCTCTGCTGCTGTTTGTATTTAAATATTTGTCTCTTATCAGCGTCTCAGGTTGAGGAGCACCGTAAACTAGATATGAAGGAAAATTTGAATATGCGCTCTAATGCGTTTCCACCACTTGAATTCAATTATCAGGGTAATGGAGGCGTTCGCCCTCCGCTCACAGGTTTGGAAGTAAAATATTCAATTGTGTTCATAATTGAGTGCAAATGAATATGACGGCCTCAGGGGGGCTGGGACTGATCTGCAGGGGGTCCTTCATGTGTCTCTGTGTCTCTGCAGACAAATACGCACCAGTTATTTTTACACTTGTAGTGATTTGAAATGAGCCTCATACGGTCGCACCAAAATATATGTAGCGATTTGAAATGAGCCTCACAAGGCCGCACCAAAATAATACTTGGCGATTGGAATTTATAATAAATGTCTAAAGATTAATAATCTCAAATTATGACATTTATGCACTCGTTGAAAGGGGCACCACCCACCCTTAATGGTGGGAAAATAAAGAAAACAAAAGTTTAATTCAGAAATCAAACATCAAGTCAGTTTTAATTAATCAGTCTTAATTAATCAGTCTTAATTAATCAGTCTCATATCTTAAGTCGAAATTCTAATTTCAGGGACTCCACTTCTGGAAGAACACTAACAGACAGGAACTTAGAAAAATAATGATCTGTTTATTACAGGATAAATGATGGTACAACACACATGCAATAAATGATGATAAGATAATGAAGATAGATAATAATAGGTGAATAAATAAAGATTCTGAGTCAGGCTAGGAGCACTAAAGTTAATGATAGTGAGTGAATATGCGCTAACATATTAACCTACACTAACTTTGGTGTCGAGATAAACTCGGGTGTAGATTTGGAGGAATCTAAGATCACCAGAAATAGGTGGATATCTGAGTTATGAACGCGTGAGACAGCATCAGCCCTGTCTGGAGCTCTGGAGGTTTGCATACTTAAGTGAGACTGGTCCTTGGAGAAGATGGAGCAGGTTCCGAAGGTCCGGGGCTACTGGCGGTTCGAGCGGTTCAGCTCAGAAGACGACTGAAGTCAGCCGAAGGATGAGCCAGGAGTTGCAGCACTCGGGCCCGAAGCAAAGCCAGCGCCTGTGGATCCTGTGGATGCTCGTTTGGGTACTTCTTTGGTCTCACTCAAAAACTCTAGCACAGAGGATGACCTGGGCCTGCTGGGTTGCGTTCAGAGGTGACTTTGAAATCACGCAGAAAACTCAGAAAAACGAGGCTCGAAGAGCAGAGAAAACTTTCAAAAATGGCTTCGCGAAATTAAAGAAAAATCAATCAAAGGCTTAATCTTGAATTGCTATGTGCACAAAAAGTTGAAGTTTCAAAACTTGAACTAAGACGATGTTAAAGAAAAATCAACGTGAATCAACACGTGGCGTAAAACTTAGAAAACTAAGAAAAAGTTCTAAGATAAAACAAAGAAACGCACCACAGAAGGGTGTGGGCAGAAAAGAAGGGGCATAAGAGCCGGGGACAAGAGAGTCAGCAGAAGAGCAGAAGCATAAGAGGAATAAGAGCGTAAGATAAGAGAGTGAGCAACCCGACTTCACTGGTTTTATCTTCTCACACTGGGGGTGGCTCCGGCGTGTGTGTGAGGAGACAGAGGAGGGGTCGTGTGGTCTTTGATTATTTGATCTAACTTATTCTTTTGGCTGGCAAAAGAGTCAGATCTGATACTCACTCACTATGATTAATATCATTGAATGTTTGGTTTCATGATAAATAATTTGATACTAAACACATATGAATGAAGTGTAGGATCACATCAAACATTCTCATTATGTTTTAAGTATCACATTGAACAGGCTAAATTACTCTGAAATGAAACAGATAGTAACACATGGAAACTGTGAACAACAAAAGAGTAAATACATGTGAATGAACGTCATCATGATTAATAATGGATTCTAAATACTCACATTCAGGTTATTCAATGACATTATAACCACCTAATGGTTAAAAATACTAAATAAACGATTAAAATATAGAACAAACATTTCTAAACCATTTCTGTTAATTAGAGCTAAGTTATGAGTCACAATCAATAAATTTAACTCTTAAAAGTTCATGAAACAGTCTGAAAAGCTGTTGGTCTAAAGATATCCGGAGTGATAATTTGGCTTCTGAAGCACATAGAAAAACGGGAAACATCTCATTTTAACACAAATTTCATGATTAGACAGATTAGTACATTGCTGAATGCATAAGATGTCATGATCAGTCATTTGTATTCTTTCACCAAAGGAATGCAGTCTTTATCAGTGTATGGTTGAGCAGGGTTTTACGACCGAGGTCTGGAGGTCAGTGTCCCCCCCTTTTCCTGGGGTCCGTATGTTCACACACTTTAAGACGCTAAATCTCAAATGAGAGATCTGGGTTAAGGTTAATGTTTATTTAGATGGTCAGCAAATGGAGTCAGTTTGAAAGGTAATAAAAACTCTGTCTCTGTTCGCCGAACTGACCAATCCTGAAGAGTCAGAGGTTTAGTCAACCTCCGGTTGGGTCACTTATTCAACCTGAAAGGGCAAACACGTCTGGAAAGATTTATATCCTGTTTCCTGGGACCAGATAAGGAAACTTTCCTGTAAGGAATGTGTGGGTTTCACATCCAGGGTTGTCTTGATTGCTACAGTCCCCCCTTCGTCACGGTGGTCCTGTCCATGGAGCATCGGGACGACGAGTAGACAACCATGAAGCAGCAGCAGGTGTATGCAAATAGGACTGATGCGTCTCGTCATCACTATGTGAATCACTAGTACTGCTTTGAGATAAAATTAAGCATGCATTAAGCTATCAAATAAAATAGTCTTGTTGTTAGACTTTTCTCAGTTAACTATTGGTAGACTAATGTGAAAGAAAATCTCCTAATTTTCAGTATTAATGAGATTTAGGAAAGCACTATTTAGTCTGAATGCTAACTGGATCTAAAGATATAGCTGTTTTCCATGCTTGCTGGAGAAGTCTGAAAGTTCAATTTCAGTTTCAAAAATGGTTAAGACTTAGGTGGAAAAGAAATGTCTGCTATAGACATATTAACCATCTGTGTATGAGCATAGTCAACCTGAATCACAAACATCAAAAGTTTACTGCACAGAGTTTCTCTTAAACTTTGTCTGTTAAACTTGGGGATGATGCTCTTATCGGTTTGACTAATTATCTGCTGTTGAGTCTGAAATTTGTCAATCTGAGTCTTAGTGACAGAAATTTCAGGTTTTAATCTGTTCATGGGATATTTGACAGCTGACAAGCTGACTATATTGACAGAGGAGAGACAAATGCTAACAAAGAAAGCAGCAACTGGTATTGCAGTCATCAATGTATCACCACAACATTTGGATATCTTATTGGAGTCATTTAGCTTTGGCTAGGTGACTTCTGCTTTCGCAGGACTCACACCTTCATGACTCCACAGTGTTAATCTCAGTGGTTAGCTGAGTAGTCATGTTTATTCACCTTCAAAGTGGATGAAACCGATTGAGGTGGATAATAAGATCGTCGTTTCTGAGAGTGTGATTTACTCTGATTCTGCCAGTCATTCACCCCCCTTTGGCGGTGTCGATGGTTTTTCCTTTGTCTGGGACAAAACCCACCGTGACGGGAGTCTGAATAACAACAGTTGGTCTCAAAGTTTACCCGGCATTGGTCTGAGTCAGACCTGGGCCTTGGTGTGTAACTTTGACCTTTGTGAGTGTGTTGAGGTCGAAAAGGTTTTGGAGGCCTGGTTAACCACTCATTTGGAGGCTTATCGGAGCCTGAAAATACACAATCTGAAGCTTCGTTCAGCTCCACGGGCAGTGATTTTGTCTCCATAGCCAAGAGAGTAACGGGCTCTGCTTTCTTAGCCAAAGTTTGTCGTTGTTTGGCAAAACCTTTTACAGCAAGTTCACGAAGCTGTCGGCTAGTCAAAGTGTTTGGACAAGCTAAGGCGCCAAGGTGATGACTGGTGGTAGGGTGGAGGTTCTGGACGAACAGCGTTTTGAAGTTCAAGTCCTCCTCCATTTCTGGTTCATTTCGGAAACCAAAGTAAGCTTCGCGTAAGCGGTTGTAATATTGTTGGGGAGGTTCTGATCTCCCTTGTTTAATAGACAGAGCAGCAGAAAGGCCTGTCTGGGTCAAATAGTCAGAAAACTCTTCAATTAATGCTTGGCAGAGCAAGTCATAATTATTTCTGACATGATAAGGCTGTCGCTCAAGGAAACTGCTAACCTCTCGACTTGACGTTGCCTTAATAAGGTAGATCTTGTCATCAATGGTTGCACCTGGAAATTTCCTCAGGTAAAAGTCAATGTCTTTCAAGTAGGTGCAGGTGTCAGTAGCACCTTGGTGCTTAGGTTCAAAGCGTGCTATGTTGCGAGCAATTTTGTCAAGATCCCTATCTGAGGGAGATGGTAAGAAGCCATCATGAGGAGGAGAGTAGGACTCTTGGTTTAAGGATGACCTCTCAGGGTCAAGCAGGGTCCTGTCATGATGCTGAGAGAGATACTTAAGAGTTGGTTTGGAAGGAAGTGATGGCGCTCTCTCAGGAGGCTGATCACCTATCATTTCTTCAAGAAACGTTTGCTCCATGCGTTCTCTTTGGGCTCGACCTGACTGGAGGGAGCATTGTAACTCTCTTTGGGCATCTTCAAGTTCTTTGTCTGTCTTTTCTTGCCGTTCTTGACAAAGAATTAACTGTCTTTGAGCTATCTGGAGCTGGTGCTGTAAGGTAGAAGTTTGCTTCTCCTTAACTTCAAGAGCTTCAGCACGCACTTTGACCAGTGCTTTCAAAGTTTTTACATCTTCTGTTGCTTGCTCTAGTAGGGATTCTGACTGTATCA